GTTTGCAACCAAAGAGAAGGCCTTAGCCGTTAAATGCAGTAACCGACATTAAATATGACTATCAACAGACTCCTAAGCAGTGACCAGAAACCCAAGAATGGATGGGGACATGAAGGCTGGAGGAAGACCAAGGAGAAGGTGAGTGGGATGCTGGTTGATGGAAGGTTGATGATTGTTTTTTCTCCAGGGGTAGGGATATTTATAGTAAAAAATATGAGTTAAATAAGATATACAAGCACGAGCACAAAGCACTAGGGCTTTGCTCCTACAATCGGCCAGGCACTACATTTACTGAGAGCAGCAGCTACTAGCAGGACGGACTGGAGCGCGAAAGGCGGAACCGGTTAGCAGGAACTACTATGAGCGCTAAGAAACGGCACGTAACATCCTAATTTTTGTCCTTACTTTGATCCGGATCTTGACCCTGGTCTCGCTTCCTATATGCGTCTTCCAGTTGCTTTCCCACTGCAATCGCACGGTCCACTACGACCCTCAGCGGAGGTAAGTTGTACGTCTGCGCGACGTAGATCCCGAAGGTAGTCCCAGCACAGAAGGAGAGAAACGACTTGAACATTCCCATAGCTAGTCGGTGCTGACGACCGGTTTGACCTAAAACCTGGATTTGCCTGTATGACGGCAACCAGGATTCGCCTAACGAGAAAAAAAGAGGAGGAGAATATCACAACCACAAACACGTCGTAGACTGGGCCTTTGTTCTCAGATGTTCCTTCGGCATGACTGGGTTACAACTGAATCTGCAGAATCTAGGGAGCCATGGATGTTCCTTGTTGGACAAGCAACAGATTCGAAAGAGTGTTGTTCGTGGGGGGATATCAGTGACCCTCGCATTCACTTGAACACGATTTCCGCAAACCAACCGCTTTGTTTAGTGCAGGAACCACTCCACGGTCCCTGAGAACCGTACTGGACGACCGGGACATTTTCCGAGTCCCGACAAGATTCATTCTGACCGAATTGGATGCGACGACGGGATGAATGAACTAAGGAGGTAACCAGATCGCGTGGGGGAACGAGCAACATGACTGCCCACTTCTGTCGCTGAATTGCTTCGTGAACCGTCGCCCATGCTTTCTCGTCAACTTCACAGCCTCGACTTTCCCGACAGTGCAAACCCCCCTGACCTGACTCTTTTGATCAGGATCAGGAAATTGTGAAAGCTTGCTTAGTCCATCTTGCAAAGGCAGCGTGCTTCATTCCAAGTGGGTTTACAACGTTCTCGTACATCCATGATACACAATGGGGTGGGTGGTGGGAAAGTAAAACTAGAAAATTGGAAATGAAGAACGTGGGTGGAGCTACTGAACTCACGTTCCTCTTTTGTAGGCAAAAGAGGGGTGAGTAGCGTCGCACCGCTACCTTTGCGTTGCTGGCCACGTCCTCGCTTTCACAATACGAAATTTTAAAAAGTGTTAACACTTTTAAAAATTATAATTTCTTGATAATATCACCAAACCAGAGAGCTGAAGTACACAGAAGCTCATAGATATTTCGTTGTGAAAGGCACAACTGTCAATGGCAAATGCATTGCCTTCAGAGCACAACGTGTCTGATGGTAAAGTTTTCATATAAGCTGTTCCCTTCTTTGTGGTTTCCCAATGGCCATCCAGAATGGGTAAAGGTAAAGGTTATGGGGAAACCCCCTTGGTATTACCCCGGCTGTCGGTCGTAACCTGCCTACCCATTTGTTTACACGCCTCGCTGGGTAACGAGGTTGTTGTATCCACTCCCAGATGAGCACCTGTGAAACCCCCTTCTGGGGGGCTGGCAGAACACGCCGCAGGGGGGATTTGATCCCGGGACCTCATCCTTCGGAAGTGAACCAGCTAACTAGCTGGGCCACTTCAGGATCGGCCATACAGAATGGGATTCACAAGGTCAGTACCACTTCGTACACCTTCACGTTTCCCATCTTAGTGTATGTAAGGCTACTCCGATGGCCATTGACGATTCAGAAATCCTCCTGCAGGTGATGTCAAGAATTTATCTCATTTGACAGCAGAAATGGTACCCGGCAGCCAAATGTGCAGTATCCACTCTTGCAGCTTCTTTAGACATGTTTGTAGAATTCTCCCAGAGCCGTTCCCTTCTCTTGTTTTCCGTGGCACATCCAAGATTCGATGCACTTAGCGCATGGTCCGGTTCTGACTGATTACAGACGTGGCACATGATCTTAGAAGGCAGGGTAAGAATAATTCGTTTTTCATTTGAATGCGAAAATTGTACAAAACTGTGAGAAGGTCAAAAATAGCTATTTACGAGCATCTAGGCGTCGTTGAGAGCAGCGACACCTGGCAACACCTTGCCCTCGAGAAGCTCCAGGGATGCACCGCCACCAGTGGAGATGTGGCTCATCTTCTCAGCCACTCCCACCTTCTCAACAGCCGCCACGGAATCTCCGCCACCAATGATGGTGATCACGCCCTTGCCGCTCAAATCCGCGAGCTTGTTCGCGACGGCCTCGGTTCCGACGGCGAACTTGTCGAACTCGAACACGCCCATGGGTCCGTTCCAGATGACGGTCTTGGAGGTGTCGAGCGCCTCGTTGAACGTCTTGACGGAGTCAGGGCCGATATCGAGACCCATCCAGCCGTCGGGGATGTCCTTAGCCGACACGATCTGCGATGGAGCACGAAGAAGGTGGAGCATTGCAATTAGGTTGAGTTCTCTTATGCAAAGCAGATGTGAAAACCGGAGGTTGTCAAAACGACCTTATTTGTGGGATTGAAGGCCCCAATGTGTGTACGAAAGAAGTTTGGAGAGAGTTCCCGGACCAGTTGGAAAAAACAAATTGAGTAACCAAGAAAGGTGAAAGAGAGCTCTTTGGGCGACGAACCTGGGAGTTGGCGTCAGGGGCGAACTTGTCGGCGATGACGACATCGGTGGGCAGCAGCAGCTTCACGCCCTTCTCCTCGGCCTTCTTGATCAGGCTCGTCGCGAGCTCCACCTTGTCCTCCTCCACCAGCGACGCGCCAGTCTTGTACCCGAGTGCGCGGTAGAAGGTGAAGATCATGCCACCGCCCAGCAGCAGAATGTCGCACTTGGCGAGGAGGGACTCAATCACGCCGATCTTGGAAGACACCTTGGAGCCACCGACGATGGCGGCGAAGGGGCGGGTGGGGCTGGTGACGGCGCCATCAAGGTAGTCAAGCTCCTTCTGGAGGAGGAAGCCGGCGACGGAGGGCTTGAGGAACTCCGTGACTCCCGCGGTGGAGGCGTGCGCCCTGTGCGCCGTGCCGAACGCGTCGTTGACGTAGAGGTCGGCGTTGGCGGCGAGCTTCTCGGCGAACTCCTTGACGTTCTTCTCCTCCTCGGGGTAGAAGCGGACGTTCTCGAGGAGAACGACGCCGCCGTTGGGGAGCGCCGCGACGGCCTTCTCGACCTCCTCGCCGATGCAGTCGTTGGTCTTGACGACCTTGATGCCCAGCAGCTCCGACAGACGGTTCACGAGCGGGTTGAGGCGGAACTTCTCAGTCACACCCTTCGGGCGACCCTGGATAAAGCAACGGAAAGGAAAAATGACGGATGGAAAAGAATGAACATTAGGAATATTGCGAACAGAAATTCGATACATACAACGAAATGGAAGCAGACAATTTTTGGTAGTTAATGTTGAAAGTGTAACCAGCAACTAGGCATCTCTTTGCAGCCATAACTGGACAATGTCAATGTTTAAAAGCTTGTGTGACTTACCAGGTGGCTGGTGAGGAGGACCTTAGCGCCCTTCTCCATGAGGTACTTGACGGTGGGCACGGCGGCACGGATACGCGTGTCGTCAGTGATGTTGAAGTCCGCATCGAGCGGCACGTTCAGGTCAGCGCGCACGAACACGCGCTTGCCCTTCAGGTCCGCCTCCGTCAGCGAACCCACGCTCTTCTTCGCCATGGTCACTACACCGCGGGTGCCCTTGCCCGCCTTGGCGACGTGCGAGGCGACGGCGGACTGGATGTCGTGCTCAACGGCGAAAATGTTGGCGAACTTCTGGTTGTCCTTGTTACCAGCGACCAGGCCGTTGAAGGACCTGATGCCAGCGGACGCCCTGACAGAGCTGGAGCCAGCGCTGCTGCCCTGGGAAAGGGCCGCGCGGGGCGCGACGACCACCTTGGAGGAGGTAGCGACGGTAGCAGCCATTCTCAAAGGATGTCTGAGAAATGGATGAGAGGTGGAAGTCGCAGGAAGCAGGAGACCAGCTGCTGCTCTGTAAATGCGAAGAAACGCCGTTTAGATTACCCGGGGAAAAGATACTTCTGGCTATTTATGGCTGACAATGCTGGCCTGAAAGTGTCTGGTCCGTTCCAAGATAATCTCTACTGACTCCCAACTCTCTCCACCCATCAGGAATCCGGAATCCGAATTCGTGGAGTTGCTGTGACACAGCTGGCTGGGAGTCCACTACAGCAGCGAGTGGCTGGGAAGCAGCCATGGCTGTCGAGGAGGATTGGTGGTGGACGGAGGAAAGTGCGACAACAAGCGAAATGTCGTTTAGATTCGCAATTGAGGCGAGAGTTGCGAAAGAAGTCTTGCGAATGCCGCGTGTGCAATGCGAATCGCTTCGAATGGCGCAAAAGGGGGTTCAATTGACACGTCAGCCGCGATGTCACACGCAACCACGAGTTTCCATATCCACATTTCTGTGCCTATCTGTGTTGAGAAGCTTCCGCGTGGCGAAGATCTATCCGATGTGGCTGCTCTGGCATAGCGACAGCTGGAATTGCTGACATGGCGGATCTTACTAAAAGGCAACTATCCGTTACAAGGAACAGGTATGTTACTTGCGTGCTCAAAGGGTACATCGTCAACCAGTTCGTCTAATATGTATAACGTACTACAGGAATCCAGCTGTTCATAGAATGGATCCCTCTAATTCCAATTTTCCTGAATGAGCGATGCTGTTTCGTGAAAAAGAAATGCTGTATATTTTCTAGATTTACCGAGCTCACGCCTCCACAGAAACACCGTTTAATTCAAAGCTAATTCGCCCCTTAGCCGAAGCCAAAGCCCTCACTGGCTTCGTGAATGGCCAACAGAAGTCGTTCCTGTAACTGCTCCTTGGTGCTGTATTCCGGCAGGTCCAATTGGTTGAAACTGTTACAAGAGAAGGAAACGAGGGGGTATGCGCTGCTTACGAAAGTAGCACAACGGTATAAACAACACCAAGAAACAACTACAAGAAGAGGTACTTGAAAGAAACATGTATGACAGTTTCTTGGGAGAATGGGAGAACAGGGGCGGGGGGGAGGTGGGGGAGGGGAAGGAGGGGGTATTTAGGAGTGTGGGCGAGCTGAGTTACATGGAGGGATGAGGAGAGCGGGAGGTAATGCACGCACCATGTGTGAGCGGAGGGCAACCTCTTGTTGTCACCATACGCCTTGTGGATCTGGAAGCGTTGCTGCCCCGACAACCCTTGCAGCGCCTTGAAACCCTCCAGCGGAACCTGCCAGGAGGGGTGGGCGTGCAACAAGAGGGAAGTTGACCAAGTGCAGGAGGGACAAGTTACGTGCGTGCGATGTCGCCTTCAAAGCGCCACTGCTCTGCCCACGCCTTGCAAAACGAACCAACATAACATGGGAGCCGTGTTACCTCGGATGCGTCTCCTCCCTTTCCCTGTTTGCTCCCCAATTTACATGCCTCCGTGCGCATCTCACCTTGGACGTGCCAGTGACGAACTGCGGCAGGCGAGCACGGTCCGCTTTGGAGAGGTGCGCCACCACGTCCCAGAACCACTGGATCTGAGGCGACCCTGCTCTCATCCCACCCTCCATGTACCTGCTCTCTTCCAGCCTTCGCGCTCACCTTGGATGTGCCAGTGACGAATTGCAGCAGGCGAGCGCGGTCCTCCTTGGAGAGATGAGCCACCACGTCCCAGAACCACTGGATCTGAGGCGACCCTGCTCTCATCCCACCCTCCATGTACCTGCTCTCGTCCAGCCTTCGCGCTCACCTTGGATGTGCCAGTGACGAATTGCAGCAGGCGAGCGCGGTCCTCCTTGGAGAGATGAGCCACCACGTCCCAGAACCACTGGATCTGAGGCGACCCTGCTCTCATCCCACCCTCCATGTACCTGCTCTCTTCCAGCCTTCGCGCTCACCTTGGATGTGCCAGTGACGAATTGCAGCAGGCGAGCGCGGTCCTCCTTGGAGAGATGAGCCACCACGTCCCAGAACCACTGGATCTGAGGCGACCCTGCTCTCATCCCACCCTCCATGTACCTGCTCTCTTCCAGCCTTCGCGCTCACCTTGGATGTGCCAGTGACGAATTGCAGCAGGCGAGCGCGGTCCTCCTTGGAGAGATGAGCCACCACGTCCCAGAACCACTGGATCTGAGGCGACCCTGCTCTCATCCCACCCTCCATGTACCTGCTCTCTTCCAGCCTTCGCGCTCACCTTGGATGTGCCAGTGACGAATTGCAGCAGGCGAGCGCGGTCCTCCTTGGAGAGATGAGCCACCACGTCCCAGAACCACTGGATCTGTGGTGACCCTGCTGTGTACCCCGTGTAGTCTGTGTTGCTGCGCAGGTCGTCAACTGGTGGGGAGAGAAGGGGGGAAGGGAGAATAGAGAGGGGAGCGGTGCAGTGTGAGAGATGAGCCACCACGTCCCAGAACCACTGGATCTGTGGTGACCCTACCGTGTACCCCGTGTAGTCTGTGTTGCTGCGCAGGTCGTCAACTGGTGGGAGAATGGGGGGCCAGGAGAAGTGAGAGATAATGAGAAAGTTGGATGAAGGGATGCGGAGAGAGGCTCTTTGTTGTTCCAGTTTTGCGACATCCCAGACCAGAAAACTCCCCTAACGAATCACGTCAGCCAATCTCAGGCCGGGGCACATCCCAGCACGTAGAGCACTCACTGTCAATCTCAGGCAGCCCCGAAATCAGGAGCTCCAGCTCCTTATCACTGAACATGGCGATGAGATCCTTGGGTATGAGCTCCGTCCCTCCATGAAGGCTCCCACACACCCACACTCACTGCCCTCACTAGAGCCCACAAAGGAAGAAGCCAAGCACTCACTGTCAATCTCAGGTAGCCCCAAAATCAGGAGCTCCAGCTCCTTGTCGTTGAACATGGCGATGAGGTCCTTGGGAATCAACTCGGTGAAGCCCTCCATGAACGCCCCCACAGCTGCACTCACTGCCCTCACTAGTGCCCACAGAGCAACAAAGGAAACACGTACTGTCAATCTCAGGCAGTCCAGAAATGAGCAGCTCCAGCTCCTTGTCGTTGAACATGGCGATGAGATCCTTGGGTATGAGCTCCGTGAATCCCTCCATGAACGCCGCGATCTGCGGGCGAATGGCAGCCGTCATGCGGTAGTCGGCTACAGCGTCCACGTACTCGTGCTTGTTCTCCTCCGTCACCCTGATGTTGCGCCCTCCAGGAATGAGCTCGTGGTCTGTCACCTGTTGGGGGGAGAAAAGGGTGGGAGAGAGGCAGGGCAATGGGATGGGGGAGGCATTAACGGGCGGCCATCATGCGAGTGCCATGGCGTCCACGTACTCGTGCTTGTTCTTCTCCGAGGTGAACAGTGGTGGGCAGTGGTGGACAATGGTTGACAGCGGTGCACAGCCCAAGTCAGTGTCACATCAGTGCGCTCGTACAGAATGAGCTTCTCCTCATCACTGCTCTCCTCTACTTTGCCCCTCTGCTAGTCATCCCCCCGACTCACCTCAGTGCGCTCGTACAGAATGCGCTTCTCCTCGTCCGCATCCATGCTGAATGTGAGGTCCAGGACGCCACTGATGTCCCATCTGCCCCCACGCTAGCCACCAACCTGTCTCACCTCAGCGCGCCCAAGCAAACAGCAGCGCCCCTCGGTCTCACCTCAGTGCGCTCGTACAGAATGCGCTTCTCCTCATCCGCGTCCATGCTGAACGTGAGGTCCAGGATGTCACTGATGTCGTTCTGGTGAGTTAGGAGGAAGAAAAGATGGGGGAGAGCACAGAGGATATATGAGTGCACGAGTGCCAAACATGGCCATGCTGAACGTGAGGTCCAGGATGGCACTGATGTCGTTCTGAAGGAGAGAGAGAGGAGGGGAGGAGGGAAGAGAGGGGAGAAGAGGGGGTTAAAGCAGAGAGAACACATGAGGGCACCGGGGACAAACGCGCACATGTAGAACGTCCAACATGTTGATGATGTCGTTCTGGTGAGATTTGAGGGGTGGCAACGTGGGGAGGGAGAAGGGAGAGAAAGGAGTGAGTGCATAGAGGATTCGACGGCACGGTGAACACAAGTGTCCATGCTGAACGTGAGGTCCAGGATGTCACTTTGGTGAGCAGTGGGGTGGGGGGTGAAGGGATAAGGGGGGGATCCGCAGAGCCACACTTCCCCCATGCGCAGAGCCACACTTCCCCCATGCGCAGAGCCACACTTCCCCCATGCGCAGAGCCACACTTCCACCATGCGCAGAGCCACACTTCCCCCATGCGCAGAGCCACACTCACACACGCAAATGCAATCCCTCACTCTCCCCCTCACCTCGAGCATCCACTGCAGGTTCTTGTAGTAGTCCGGGTCGATGGCCTCTATGTCATGGAACGTGACCTTCACGCCCAGGATGTGCTTGTAGAATGACCGCGTGAAGTGCACGTCTAATAGCTGCCCATCGTACAGTGCCTTTGCCACCTGGTGACAGAAAGGAGTTGGGTTGGGGTTCACGGGAAAAAGGGGGTTGTAGAGGACCAATTCGACCTCAGCGCCCAGGATGTGCTTGTAGAACGACCGCGTGAAATGCACGTCTAATAGCTGCCCATCGTACAGTGCCTTTGCCACCTGCACACAGGCACTGGAGGGGAGCCAAAGGGAAAGAGGAGGCGGGGGGACGGAGGGAGAGGGATGGAGGGTTTGGTAGCAATCGAGTGACCTTGCTGCCCAGGATGTGCTTGTAGAAAGAGCGAATGCAGTGCATGTCCAGCAGCTGTCCATCATATAATGCCTTGGCCACCTGCACACAGGCATTGCGGGAGTGGTGGGTGTGTGAAGGGGTTCGAAGAGCAATAAAATGGTCCCCAGCCCTCTTGCTAAAAAAGTGGTTGTCTTGTCAACAGAAGGGGAAACCAGGAGAATCACATATGTAGCAGCACATGTGGAAGCAGCATGTATGTAGCAGCAGCATGAGGCAGCACTCACCACGCGGCCGACGAATTTGAAGTAGGAGAGGTGACCCGGCTGCAGCACACTATTAGGGTTGGGCTGGAAGGAGGTGTCGTTGCCGACAGTGGTGAAGAGCAGAGCGCCCTTGTCAAACACCACACGCGACAGCTGTTGGTACCACTCGCGCGTCACCCCTCCTGCGTCGATGCCCTCCTCCCCCTGGAAGTGCACGTTCAGCCTCCCCCGTAGCTCCTCTGCTGTGCGCATACGGAGCTGGGGAAAGGGGGGGGGACCGAGGATGGGGGGAAGTGGGATAGGGAAGGGAAGGTTAGGAAGGCAGAGGTGGTTTGCGGAGATATATCGTGTGCCCCCAATGCTGCTCAACTCCTGCGTCGATCCCCTCCTCCCCCTGGAAGTGCACATTCAGCCGCCCCTGCAGCTCCTCTGCTGTGCGCATGCGTAGCTGGGGAAAAAGGGGGGAAAGGAAGAGGGGGGGGTAGGCAGGCAGAGGTGGTTTGGGGAGATAAATAGTGTGCCCCCAACGCTGCTCAGCCCCTGCATCAATGCCCTCCCCCCCCCTGGAAGTGCACGTTCAGCCAACCCCAAGATTGCCTCAACATTCAGATCCTCTCACCTGGTTGTACGAGTCTTCAAGGATATACGGCCGTCGGACCGTGATCCGCAGTGTGCCATAGTGTGGCTGCTCATGCAGCTGTCTCATCCTCACCCTGAAGTAAGCGCGCTTGTTATCAAAGTCCAGCACCCACGCCCACGTGAAGCATGCCTGGTTCTAAGACGTCTATGCACTCAAATCCTTCTCTCACCTGGTTGTACGAGTCTTCAAGAATGTACGGCCGTCTGACCGTAATCCTCAGAGTCCCGTAATGCGGCTGCTCATGCAGCTGCCTCATCCTCGCCCTGAAGTAAGCGCGCTTGTTGTCAAAGTCCAGCACCCACGCCCACTTGAGCAGCACTGCAAAGGACCGCTCTAGAAGCGCCGGGTTGCCGCGTACGAACGCGTTGAGCAGGCGGCGATGGCGCTCTGTGAAGCGCAGGAGAGCAGAGGACGGCGAGGAGGAGGAGGGGATGGAGGTGATAGAGGAGGAGGAAGGAATGGGTGCCAATGTGGTGGTGGTGGCAGCAGCAGCCTCCTGTGTTGCTGCTGCTGCTGCTGCAGTACTGGAGCCAGGAGCAGGGGCAGAAGGAGCAGCAGCTGGAGCATCCGCAGCAGCAGGAGTCGAATCAGAGGCAGCAGCAGCTCCCCCAGCAGCAGCACCCTTCCCCTTGCTGCTTGTCTTGTCACACAACACAAAGAACGACTCCACGAATGGTAACAGCTGCTGTGCTGCTGATGGCAGCGGCGGCACAGCACCTCCCCCTGCCGCCCCTCCTCCCACGCCTGCCGCACCCTCCGCCGCCGAACCTGCAGGTCCGGCCGAAGCGGACAGGGCCGGGTGTTTCTTGTACCGAGCCTCAAGCTTGCCACAGCACTCGGATAGGACTTGCCAGAGAGGGTGGAGCGATGTGACCAGGTCAGCTATGACAGCCTGGCATTCTGCCTCGGATGCCGGTCCTGAGGGGGAGTCACCATCCCAGGCGAGTGGGAGGGAGGAGGCGGGTTGTGAGAGGAGGGAGGTGAGGGTCTTGAGGACGCGGAGAGTGGCTGCTCCTGCTCTCGTCAGCCCCCATGGCTTGCCGCTTACAGCAGCTAGCGCTGATGGCGCTGCTGGTGGTGTTTGAGATGCCGCTGCTTCTGCTGCTCCTTCCTGCCCTTCCATATTCGCTCTCTCACTCTCCGTTGCTACTCCTGCTGATCCTACACCTGCACCTGCTCCCTCCTCTCCCCCACCCTCCCCACCATCCGCCCCCTCCACCACCTCTAGCAACTCCCGCGTGGCCGGCGAGCTGAGCTGGCGTGCCGCCTCTGCCAGGTCAGCAACAAACAGTGCACGGTACTTGGGAACCACAGCAGTAACCAGCCTCAGCACAGCCACAGCACGCGAGTAGGAGGCGTCTGAGAGGCCCTCCTGGGCGAGCAGCTGGGAGAGAATGCGGAGGTCAGGGTGGGGAATGCGGAGGAAGACTGTCACTGGGATGGGCACTGGGGGAGCGGGTGGAGCAGCGGGGGCAGGGGGTTGTGCCATGCTGGTGGGAGGGGATGTGGGTGTGGAAGCGGGTGGGATGGTAGCAGCAGCCGAGGGAGCAGTAGCAGTATCTGTTCCAGTTAAAAGATCGGCAGCATCGGCTGTTGCAGCTGCTGTTGTTGCCGCTGCTGCAGTCTCTGCCGCAGCTGCTGGAGCTCCTTCTTGGGTTTCACTTAGTTGCTCTCTGCCCTCCTGCCCCTCCTGCCCCTCCTGCCCTGCTTGCCCCTCCCCTCCGTCTTCTCTCTCCCTCTCTCCCATCTCTACATCCCCACCCGCAGGTCCAGCCTCGGCAGTCCCCGGACCTGAACCACCCTCCATCCGAACCTCTGCCGCTGCCTCGGCAGGGCCTGAAGCACCATCTCCTGCCACCCCTGCTCCTCCTGCTGCTCCTGTTGTTCCTGTTGTTCCTGCTGCTGCTGCGGATGCATTCTCCACTGCTGCACTTGCTGCTGCTGGCGATTCTCCTGCTACTTGCCCCTCAGGTCTAGCAGCATCGGCAGGGACAGCCGCACCAGCGGCAGCAGTGGCAGTACCGTCAGCGATAGCTGGCGTTGCAGTGGCAGCAGTAGCGGCAGGCGTGGCAGCAGCAACATTGGCAGGTGTGGCAGCAGCAGCAGCAGCGGCAGCATTGAGAGCCTCCTCTGCTGCTGCCCGAGCTACCACCTCCATGAGACCCAGCAGCTGCAGGGCATACACACACACACGCATGGGGGTAACGGGGGGAAAGGGGGGAAAGTGGGGAGGAGAGATGAGCAACAGCAAGAGGGCTGACCCGTCCATAAGACAAAGTTGACTCTGCTGCTGCGCGAACTACCACCTGTATGAGACGCAGCAGCTGCAGGGCATGCACTCAAACACAAAGACACATACATGGGGGAAAAGGGAGATGAGATGAGCAACAGCAAGAGGCCTGACCCCTCCATAAGACAAAGTTGACTCTGCTGCTGCGCGAACTACCACCTCCATGAGACTCAGCAGCTGCACTGCCCTGCACGGACCTAGACAAGCGGAGTTGCACGGACCTAGACAAGCGGCGTTGCACGGACCTGTTCCAAGTGGGGCGAGCTACGCAGGTACAGAGGCTGTCTCAACAGATGCAGCATCAGCACAAACGGCACCTCCCCTTCTCCCCCTTCCTCCTCCGCCTCCCCATCAACACCCTCTTTTCTCTTCCCCTTCGTTCCCCTGCCCACAACACCCGTCTCCACCAACTCCTCTGCTTTAGCCGCTCCTCCTGCTGCTCCTCCTGCTGCTCCTCCTGCCGCTCCCCCTGCAGAATCCTCTGTTATTTCCGCCACCTTCGCCTTGCCCTTGCGTTCCTTTGCCCGCTCCCGCTCCTCCCGCTGCTGCTGAGCCAAGCGAGTGAGCGCGGAGGGGAAGAGCAGCAGCAGCTGCGTGGCAGCCATGGAGTGGCGCGACAGGTACACCAGCAGCTCGAGCACACGGCGAGAGACGAGGGGAGGAATGCCTACAAGGGAAGGGAAGGGGGAAGAAGAGCATTGGGAAGAACGGGTTGCAAGGAGATGGAAATGAGGGTGGTTCAGGCATAGGAAGAAGCCCAGCAAGAAGTGCCCAGCCGTCTAACCCTTACGTCTTGAGCCCGCAAGGCGAGCGACTCACTGTTGGGGCGCTGCGGTCGAGCATACACCACGTTGGACTGGCAGCAGTACAGCTGGTGTGGTGGTGCGCCGTCTGCTGCTACCCCACCCGCACGCGCACCCTCACGCACACCCTTGAGCCCTTGAGCCATTGAGTCTACAGCATGCAAGGCGAGAAACTCACTGTTGGGTCGCTGCGGTCGAGCATACACCACGTTGGACTGGCAGCAGTACAGCTGGTGTGGTGGTGCGCCGTCTGCTGCTACCACACCCTCACCCACACCCTCAACAGCTGCAGCCGCTCCGAGTGCTGCAGGCGTTTCAGGTGCTGCAGGTGGTGCAGCCTGACTGCCTTCCGCTGCAGATGCTGCAGCACCTGGCACGGCTGCTGCATTCTGGTCCGTTGGATGCTGCCCTGTGGGGTGCTGGTCCGTTGGATCGGCATCGGGGCGCAGCAGATCTAGCAGGATGCGCACAAGGGCTGCACGGGTGGTGGCGTGGGAGGCGAGGTTGGTCAGTAGACGCGGCAGCAGGGCCTTTTGCAGCGGCTGGTGGGGGAAAAGGGGGGGCGGGTGGGAGAGGTGGGGTGAAAGGGGTAAAAAAAGTTGGGATGAGAAAGACAAGAGGAAAAATGGTAATTACTATCAAGGAAGGCAACCTTGCAGTGTCACAGATTGTGACTGCGGGGGGCAGCAATCACAGAAACCCACCTGGGAGATGCGCAGCAGGCGAATGAGCGCCTTGAGCGCCCTCTCATCCACCACAGGCGCCTTCTCCTCCTCTCCCCCTTCCCCACCACCTTTACTTCCCCCCGCCCCCGTCCCCGCCCCAGCCCCAGCGCCCTCCCGCTCCCTCCTCCCCATCCCCGCGGCAATGAACCCCCTGGTGAATTCTCCCACACCGCCCTCCCCAGCAGCCACAGCGAACGGGTGCGGTGGGCGGCGGTGGGCGGTGGTACCGCCAGCAACAGCGGGAGAGCGGCGGATGGGACCGCCGAAGATGGCGTGGTGGGGGTGTGCGGGGTGCTGGTGCCTAACAGAGTACTGCTGCTGCATGGCTCGCTCTCTCAGCAGCTGGGCTTCAGCTAGCAGGGCGGGCGGGAGCGATGCCAGCACTGCTTCCGATGAGGTCAGCAGGACCTCTGCTCGCAGCTCCTCAGGGAATGTAGCAATGATAGACGCACTATCCATGTCCACAGGATGCCCATCCGCACCTGCTGCTGCTGCTGCAGCCATGAGGCGCTGCGCCTGCTGCTGTGCCAGCACCTCCGCCTGAATATCCGGCGGCAGCGCTGCTAAGAATTCCGGATCCAGCTCCCCTGTATCCTCCCCTCCCAACCCTGCTGCTGCTCCTCCTCCTGCTCCCGCCCCACCCACTCCCCCTGCTCCCACTGCGCCCCCGGCGCCCTCCGCTCCCCCTGCTCCTCCTCCGGCCGCGCCTCCCCCCGCCTGCCCCTGTGGCTGTGCGGCCTGCTGCTGGGCGCGTCTCTGGCGGGCCTGGCGGGCAGCTCGCTCCACGTGGAAGGAGGCTAGTACCTCTGCCCTTAGGTCCTCCGGTAGAGCCTCCAGGAAGGTTGGGTCGATCTCTGGGAGATCCTCCTCCTCGTCTGCTGCTGCTGCTGCTGCTCCGCCTGTGCTCGTGCCTGCTGCACCACCTGAAGCACCCGCGGCTGCATCCGCTGCAGCACTACCTGAAGCTCCAGCCGTTGCCCCTGACGCATCAGTGGTGGGCGGGACAGGAACAGCAGGGATAGCAGGTGCCGCAGCAGCATCGGTCGCTGGAGCAGCAGCAGCAGAAGATGTGGCGCCAGCACTAGCAGGAGCTGCTTCCACTTCAACTTCAGTCACTGTTACCGTTTCTCCTGCTTCTGCCACTCCTGCTGCTGCTTCCGTTGCTGCAGCATCACCAGCAGCAGCAAGGGAGGGAGTAATCACCCCCTCACCAGGTGAAATCGCCTCCCCCATTTCCATGGCAGTCACCCCTGCTGTGTCTACCGCTGCTGTTCCTTGCGCCGTATCCCCTGCCACCTGCGTTGGTGTGCCTCCCTCTCCGACTTGCTGCTCTGCTGCCGTGCCACCAGCATTACTGGCAGCCAAAGCAGCTGCTGCAGCCGGCACCGCCTCTCCTTCTAAGCCCGGCACAGCTGGAGCAGCAGTTGTAGCTGCTGTAGCAGCGGAAAGCCCAGCCGTTGCAGCAGAGAGCCTGGCTGTAGCAGCAGAAAGCTCAGCTGTAATAGCAGAAAGCTCAGCTGTAGTAGCAGAAAGGCCAGCTATAGCAGGAGGAAGAGGGGGAGGAGGAGGAGCAGCAGGAACAGCAGCAGCTGCGGCAGCAGGAGCGGCAGGCAGGGCAGCACCAGCAGCGGCACCAGGCAGAAGCATGTCATCCCGCCCGTCTATGCTCCCCACCTCCACCTCCAGGCTCCTCAGGCTCTCCCCAGCCGTGAACCCACTACCCCCACTGTCCTGACTTGCCACTTCCACCTCCGCCTCTGCCTCTCTCTCCCTCTCACTCCCTCTCTCGCCCATCTGCACGTCTCCTGCTACAATGCCCTCCTCCTCTGCTCCTCTACCTGATTCCGTACCTGCTGCTGCTGCTGCTGCTGTTGCTTCTGCCTCTGCTCCTGTTCCTGTACCGGTCTGAGTGGTGTCGGCATCTGCCTGCTCTCCTGCTGCTGCTCCTGCTCCTGCTGCTGCTCCTGCCGCAGCAGCTTCTGCTGCTGCTCCTGCAGTTGCCCCACCACTTCCTCCTGCCCCTGCCGCCCCACTACCACCTTCTTGCCTCACCTCCCTCTCCTGCTCCCTCTGCCCCTCCTCCTGCCCCTCCCCTTGCTGCCGCTGCTGCCCCTCTCCTCCCATCCCCCTCCCCTGCTGCCTCTCCCCATTCCTCCCCGCACCACCACCTCTCTGCCCCCCCGCCTCTCCTCCCTCCCTCCCTCCCCCTCTCCCTGCCTCGCGCAACCCTTGCATGGACTGCAGGAAAGCACTTTCCAGCGCCTGAGCAACAGCAGCACCCGTCCCGGCAGGCTGCGGCAGCCCATCATCCGTCCACCGATTCACCCTCCCAAACTCCCCTCGCCCCGCCGCCCCTCCCACCACCGGCCCCAGCCCACTCACCCCCATCGCCCTCGCCCTCCCCGGATCAAACTCCACCCCTGACGGATGCCCTATCCCCATGCCGCCCACGCCGCCCATGCCGCCCATGATGCCGCCCATGCCGCCCATGCCACGAGGGTCAAGCAGGCCCCGGGCCTGCAGCATGTCTTCCAGGAAAGGATTCTCATACGCCATCATTAGAGACGCCACATCCCTCGCAAATGCCGCATCTACTTCCATTCCTGGCCCTTGCCCGCCCCCAGCCCCCATCGGCCCGCCCACTCCCCCCATCATCCCCTGCATCCCCGCCAGGAGGTTAAAGAGACGTGATCCTGGTGCTGCAGAGGCGTGAGCAGGGGCAGACGCGGAGGCAGCGTCTGTCGGTGCTGCTCCAGGGGCGAACGGTCGAGCCAGCAGCGGGTGAACATGCAAGGGACCTGCTCCCATCCGCCCCGCCTGCCCCTGCCCCGCGCCCTGCCCCTGCGCCAGCTGCTGCTGGCCCTGCAGCGTGCTTCTCACCGCCGCTCTGCGCTGGTGACTCGCTAAGTGCCGCCCCCACCCCCACACCGGCTCATTCATATCCGCATACAGCGGATCGTTCAGCACATCCCGCTGCATAAACCCCGGAAGGTCCATCAACCCAGCCACATCCGCACCGCCCGCGAGCAGATGCACGTGATTGGCTCCCGTGACATCGTCCCGCCATCGCACCTCGATAAACCTCGCTCCGTCCTCCTCCCAGTCCTCCAGATCCTCATCATCAGCCTCCTCCTCATCCTCGTCCATGTCATCATCCTCATCTCCCTCATCGTCCTCCTCCTCATCCTCCTCTGCCAGCCCACGTGCAAAGTCGCGCCGCAAGGCCCGGGCTGCGCGCTCCTCCTCCTCCTCGTGGTCCTCCATGTCTTCCCCCATGCCCATGCCACCCTGAGGGAGATGCCCGTTGTCCTCCCCTCCATGCCCATGCCCCTCCTCATCCTCCTCCTCATCCTCATCATCCTCATCATCTTCATCATCATCCTCATCTTCCTCCTCTTCCAAATCCTCGTCCTCTTCATCCCCCTCCTCCATTCCCTCCTCATCCTCCTCATCCCCATCCTCGATATCATCCTCCCCATCCTCGTCGTCCTCCCCATCCTCCTCTCCCTCCATATCCCCATCATCATCATCCTCCTCCCCATCCTCATCCTCCCCCATACCATCAAATTCTCGGATCTGGAACCTCAGCTGCATGGGCCCTCTCATGCCCCCCCCGCCCTCCACTCTTCTTATAATTGCCTCTGCTTCATGCGCCATCCCGCCTTCCTCCTCCTCCTCCTCCCCCCCATGCCTTTCATCCTGCTCCATCGCCCTTCTCTCTTCCGCCCCTGCCCCGCCTGTCTCCTCGCCTCCCTGCTGCCTCCCCTCCTCATCCCCCCCTCGCATCCTCTCACCCCCAGCATCTGTTCCTGCATCTTCACCTCCGGAAGCCGTTGCTCTCCCTCCCTCCCCACCAGCATCACCCATGGCTGTATCAGCACCGCCACCTTCCCCACCTCCTCCTACTACTGTCCCCGCATTCGTACCTGGTTCCGCCCCTGCGGTCCCCCCTTCCACTGCTGCTTGGCTCGGCGCCCCTCCAGCCCCTGCCGAGCCTGCTTCCTGCCTTCCCGAACCTACACCCCTGGTTACACCCACTGAAACGCGCTGCCCTGATGCCGGACCTCTCCCAGGCTCGGCACGCGCTTCCGAAGCTGAGGCTCGGGTGAGCACCTCCAGAGCCCTGAGGATCGAATTCACCAGCTTCGGGGAATCGGGGTGGTTCAGATCAATTACACTCAGAGTCTCGAGGAGGTTTGGCAGCATGCCCACCTCAAGAGCCGTCTTGGCCATCTCTGCAGCAAAGGCAGAGGTTTGTGCGGAGCTGCCTGGCCCGCCAGGTGGATTGCTCCCATTGGACGACTGGGTAGAGAGCAGTGCGTTCATGAGGTCAAGGAAAGATCTCACTTGCTTGTTGGGCACTTGAAGCTTCAAAGCAGCAACTTCTGCTGCTTTTGCACCCGAAACCGCTGTTGCCCCACCTTCCCCTACTCCATCTGCTGCTCCCGCTCCTGCTGCAGCTGCTTCTCCCATCAAAGCTGCTCCTGCCTTTTCCTGCTGCCGCACCTCCCCTGCCCTCCCGCCATCCTCCTTTCCAAAGCGGCTCAGACTCTTGGAAATCTCTGAGAGCACGCGGCGCCGGCCCTCGCCCGAGCGCACGCACAGCGCAATGAGGAACGCAGACGCCTGGGTGCCCAGCCGGTGGTGCCCCGGGTGGGAGGACCCGCCCTGCGCTGCTGCACTGCTTCCTGCTGCTGCTGCTGATGCGGTGCTGGGCTTGTCGCTGAGGTGTGGCAGCAGCTCGTGCAACACGTGGTGCACTATGCCCCCTCGGGATGCCCATGCAGATGCAGATGCGCCTGCGGCCGAGTCAGGCTTGCCTGGTGAAGGCTGTAACCGGTGGTGGTGGTGTTGGTGGTCAGGCTTGGATTTGTGCTCATGCTTGTCTGGAGTGTGCTTGTGTGCACGGGACGTGGTTCCCCTGTGCGGCTGTGGCGCGCCCACCCCTGCTGATGCACCCAAACCTGCACCCACCGCTGCTGGTGAAGCACCCACAGCAGCAGCCGACTCTGCATCCCTGCGCAGCACGAGAGTGCTGGCAGCAGAATACGCCAGCAGGATCTCTGTGAGCAGACGCAGCACCAGCGTCGTTCGCGAGATTGCAAACTCCACTCTCTCCTTCTCCTCGACCTCCTGCTGCTGCCTCGCCTTCTCCTTCTCCTCGACCTCCTGCTGCTGCCTCGCCTTCTCCTTCTCCTCCTTCCCTGCCTCCTTCTCTACTTCCTTCTCTCCTTCCCTTTCGGCTGCTTTATTCTCGGGCCCCTCTGCGTCCACCTCCATTGCCTCCCCTCCCAGACCAGCACCAACCCCAACCTCCATAGCAGCTACCCCATGCCCCTCAGACCGCTTCCCAGGTGCTCCCTCAGGTGCTTTTTCGGGTGGCGGGAAGTGCTGCAGGTAGGTCAGGAGCTGGTCGACCACAGAGGCGAAGCTCCAAGGGACTTTGCGCACCCGCCCTGACTTGGAAACCCATGTCAACACCTTGCCGTCTGCTGACTTGCTGTAGTGACCCGTGGGGGGATGGGGAGGCGGCGGAGAGGTTTGCGGAGAGGCTGAAAGAGGTGAGGAGTGGTGGTGAGTGGTGTGGCCTGGAGCTGGGGATGGAGCAGAGGTGCTTGGTTGCCCTGGTGCTGCTGCTGTTGCTGCTGCTGCTGCTTCTGGTGCTGCTCCTACTCTCTGTTCCTTCTCCCCAAGCCCCTTCTCCTTTCCTTTCTCCTTCTCCCTCCCCTTCTCCTTCTCCTCCTTTTCCTTCTTCTCCCTCTCCTTCTCCTTCTCCCGTTTCAGCACCACCACCTGCCGCCCACCAATGCTCTCCACCTCACACACATTCCCCACCGCCTGCAGAAACGCGAACGGATCACGGGCGACAAGAGGACTCATAGCGCCCAGGAACACACGAGGGGACACACGGCCCCCATGCTGAGTTGCCAGCGTGGTGAGGCTGTGCCTGATCTCCGCTTCCATAGCATGCAGCAGCGTGAACGGGTCCTCTAGCACATGCCGCACCACCGCTGACACGAGACTCTCAAACCCCGGGAAGATGGAGGAGAAGGGCAGGGCGAGGAGAGCCGCCACCCCCCCCTGGTCCAGAAACAGGAGAGCCACGGGGTGCGAGCGGGAGAGGCGTGAGGCGAGGTGGAGGAGAGCCTGGCAGAGAGACGGTGGGGGGTGGCAGCGGATGAGAGGGCAGATGAGGGCCATGGCTTGGGCCTTCTCGTTGTCTGATAGGTACCCTGTTGACAGCCCCACGATCTCTGTGAACCGGTTCTCCTCCTTGCCCTCTCGCTTCTCTGCCTCTGCTGCCTCCTTGCCCTTGCTGGCTGCTGGGGCGGCCGTGGCAGATACACCTGCCCCGGATGGAGCCTGTGACGCCCCGGCAGCAGCAGCTGCACCAGTACCAGCTGGATCGGAAGGTGCTGCAGCGCTTGCACCTGGATCCGCTGCTGCTGCTCCTGCCCCACCTGCAACACCTGCCAGTATAGACGCGAAGGAGATAGGTGCATCTGCTGCTGCCGCTCCCCATGTGCTTGCTGTCGCCCCTGCTGCCCCTGATGCTCCCGCTGCTCCCGCTGCCACTGCTGTACCTGCTTCCCCTCGTACCCCTGTGCCAGGCACCTTCCACTGCACGAGGGAGTCCAGCACCAGGAACAGAGACGGCACCCACTTGGGCACCTCCCCAAGCCCCTCACGCCCCTCTCCTCCTTGCCCTCCTTTCCCCCCTATCCCCTCATCAGCACCTGCTTTACTCTCTACCCGCTGACCCGCCACCCCCGCACTGCCGTGCTGCTGCGACCGGCTCTTGCTGGGAGGTGAGGCGAGTGCAGCAAGAGGGAGAGTCAGCGGGTGGTAGTCGGGGCAGACAGACGAGACGTACCCAGAGAGCATGTGAAGAGCAACTGCAGCGAGGCCCTCCTTGGCTGCTATGTCCGAGCAGGGCAGGTCTTCTGAGAGCAGCACAGCCAAGCAGTGCGCCAAGGCGGATTGCAAGGCCTGCAGCGAAGATGGTAAACCAGCAGCAGCCTTCTCCTCCTCCCTTTTCTCTGCTCCGCAATCTTTTCCCTCGCTGCTGCCTTGCTTCTCACTCTCGACGCGGCTAGGGGATTCTTTCGCCTGCACGCAGGACTCTTTCAGCTGCCCCACCAGAAACGTCACAACAGCAGCCCTGTCTGTGCCAGCGTTGCGCCTGCAGAGGGCGAGCAGGAGGTCGGTCATGGGGAACACAGCGCCCTCCCCCCCGTCCCTCAACACCCGCACTATCGTCCCCAACATCTCCTCCACCCTCACCTCCTTCCGCCCCTCCTTCTCTCCTTCCGTCTCCTCCTCTTTCTCCTCCTTCTCCTTCTCTTTTCCCTTCCCTTTCTCCTCCCCCTCTTTCCCTTCTCCTGCCTTACCTGCTCCCTCCTCCCCACCCTGCTGCCCACCCGCACTAGTCCCACCTCCGCCGTCCCCATCATTACCAGAAAGAGACAAAGCGAGCGCGCGGGCGAGCTCGTCTTCTTCCGAGGGAGGCTCATCTGGCACATGGCTAATGAGCCACTCCATAGCGAGATCTAAATTGTTCCCCACCTGCCGCAAGGCCTCCTCTGCCCGCTCCCTAGGGAACCCCATTTCTACTATCAGCTCCACTAAAGCCTCATCTACTGGAGTGGGTACAGGTCCAGGCGGCATCCGCCCTCCCAGCACCGCAGCAGCCAGGGCAGCTGCGGACACTGCTGCGCCTCCCTGCCCCCCTGCGCCGCTCGCTCCACCTGCCCCTGCCCCTGTTCCTGCCCCTGCTGCTGCCGCTCCGCCCGCTCCTGCACCTGCCCCTGCACCAGTCCCTGCACCCGCAGCAGCAGCAGCAGCAGCAGCAGAACCCCCTGCTGCTGCTGGAGCGGTTTCACTCAACCCTTGAAGCACACGGGTGAGCAGAGTCACCACCGGGGAGATAACAGCAAGACCAGACTGGGAGAAGAGCGGGTGGGACCAAACGTCCAGCATGATAGATAGCACCTGCGACTGCATGGCCCGGAGGAAGTCCTCAGGCTTAGCTGGGGCGGGTTCAACTGAGCGGGAGAGCTGGTGGGTGAGGAAAATGCTGGTGGAGGAGGGGGCGAGCAGGAGGTGGGAGTTGGTGAGGCAGTCCATGAGACGGAAATAGCTCTGGAGAGGGGAGTGCAGCCACGGAGGCAGCGAAAAGGAACCCGATCCCACAAGAGAACCCGTGCCCTTGTTGCCCCCATCCTTAGAGCCGTCACCTGCGCTCTTCTTCTCCCCCGTTACTGCTGCTGCTGCTGCATCGGTTGACCCATCCGTTTCCATCTGAGCCACTGTACCTCCTGCTACCTCTACTCCCACACTGCCCGCTTCCTTTTCTGCCTTCTCCTTCTCGCCCCCCTCAGCCTTCTCAGCCTTCTCCTTCCGCTCCTTCACCTGCCGCTCCTGCTCGGCCCACATCACCCGCACCACCCACTGCAGCGACGCAAACAGCTGCTTCACAGCCCCGTGCGCGTGGAAGAATCTCAGCAGCATGCTGTTGCACGTGTGCCGCCGCGGATCAACTATCAGCGAAAACATATCATCCACAATCTTCCCCAGATACACACACCGCACTGCCGGACAATCCAGTATCTCCTCACTAGAGCACGCCTCCACACTGCTGCTCCTCCCCGGGTCGCACCCGGCAAACCCTAAACCTAAATTCTCCTGGAAGGTCTGTGCGAGGGCTGCTGAGGCCACCTTCGCATGCCCTGTCAGCACCACAGCATCGTCCCGCCTTCGAGAAGGAACTATCGCCTTCCCAACGGCTACTTCAAACAGACGCACGGCCACTACTAGCCGCCCAAGCACCTCCTTCTGTATGGCACCATCTGGCTTCTTCCTCCCCGCAGCATCTGTGGTCCCCGCACCAGCTGAACCAGCGGCAGCGGCAGAAGCATCAGCAGCGCCGCTCACCCCTGCCTCAGGACCATTATCAGGGCCTGTACCATCAGGCACAACGCGAGAGGCGCGTGAGAGGTGCCTGCTGCCGCTGCGGTGCGGAAACCCTAATTCTCCACGGGGCCAGAGGGCGCCTGGGCCGTTGCGCATGACCCTGCCAGAGCCCACGTCACCGTCCATCATCAGCAAATCCAAATCATCTACTGCCTCCCCTGGGAATACCTGCATTGCCGCTGCTGCTCCCCCTGCTGCACCTTCTCCAGCTACTGCTGCTGTGCCAGGTTCAGCTGCCTCTGAAGGTCCTGCGGATGGTGCAGCAGCAGATGATGCAGCTGCGGTGGCAGCAGTTGTAGCTGCCGCTCCTGGTGCAGCTCCTCCCTCAGAGCCCACACCCTGCCCTGCTTCCCCCCCTGCCCCTGACCCTCCAACAGCCGTTCCGCCCTCACCTGCTCCCTCTCCTCCCCCTGCTCCTCCTCCCCCTACACTCCCCCCAGCCTCTGCTGCAGCAGCAGCAGCAGAAGAAGCGGCGGCGGCGGCAGGAGGCGGCACTCCCTTGTGCTCCAGCACGGCGAGCTGCCAGAGCGCCTCTCTGTGAAGCACAGCCACGTCTCGGAACACCTCTCCGCTGGACGACGCGAGGTCGGGGACAGAGAGAGCAGTGGCGCGCACTAGCACGGCGGAGAGCGAGAGCAGGCTCTCTGCTACTCCCAGGGCGCGCAGGAGCGACTCCCGTGACTCCACGTCCAGGTCAGACAACTGGTGCCGCCCGATTGTTACTGCAGATGAGCCTGCACCTGAAGCTCCTGCAGCAGCACCACTTGGTACAGCGGCAGCAGCAGCAGGGCCTGTTGAAGCGGCTGTGGCAGCAGCACCCACAGCATCAGAGGCAGGAGGTGCGGTAGCAGGGGAGAATGACGAGAGGGACGTAGTGACAAACGCGACAGCACACTTGACATGCTTCTTGAGTGCGGACGCCACCCCGCGGGACACAGCAGAGGCGTGGCTGGGCCCGAACGCCCTCATGGTCATGGAGATCCCCTGGGCGGCAGGGGACGTGCCGAAGAGCAGCGGCAGGCGCGGCAGTGTGTAGAGTGCTAGGAGTGCGTCCAGGCCGCGGAGGTCAAGGAAGACGCGGCTGCTGGTTTCGTTGGAGAGAACGGCTTCCAGCAGGCGAGCCATGTTGCTGATGCAGTCTGGGAGGAACGCCTCTAGCTCTGCTGGGGTGAGCGTCTCCTTGACGCTGCTTGTGGTGGTGGCAGAGGTGGTGACAGCGGTGGTAGCAGCAGCTGCCCCAGTACCTGCCGTCCCAGCTGCTCCTGCTCCTGCTGCCTCTCCTGCTGCTCCTGCTTCTGCCGGTTCTGCCGGTTCTGCCTCGGCCATAACTGCTTCCGAACCAGGAACCGCCAATCCAGCTCCCGCTGTCTCTACCGCCGGCTCTTCTGCAACCACGCCAGAAGCCAGTGCCTCCCCTGCTGGTCCTGGAGACACACTCTGGCCCTCCTCGGTCTCAACCCGTGGCTGCTCCCCTGTGGCTGCTGCAGCGACTGGCGCTGCTGCTGCTGCTTCTGCCTCTGCCCCCTGGTTCCCCCCATCTGTTTCCATGGGCACAGCCGCGTCACCCTCCCCATCCTGTCTGCTACCTTGCCCTTGTGCGCCTTCCCCTGACGCACCCGCACCACATGCACCCGCCCCTGATGTCCCTCCCCCTGTTCCTTGCCCCACTCCTGCTGCCCCCTCCTCCCCACCCCCGCCACTCCCCACCGGCCTCCCGCTATCCGCATCATCCTCCTTCGCCCTCACCCCCTCCTCCCCCCCACCATCCCCTCCTCCCCGCATCTCCCCTTCCCACGAGTCCCCTCCCTCCCCCCCTCCCCTTCCCCCTCGCCTCCCCTTCCGCTCCTCCAGGCCCCCCATGCGCGCAATCTCCCTAAGGGCGCCCACAACGGCGCCCATGAGGGGCTGGCGGAGGCTCACCTGGTGGCGCATGAGCTCGTCCAGCCCGGATCCCAGCACGGACGCCGTGTCCCCCGCCAGGGGGCGCGAGTACTGGCGCGAGGTGAAGAGGGCGGGCAGGCAGGCGAGCACGTGGGAGTCTGTGACGAGCTGTAGCCCGCGCTGGTTGAGGCAGAAGGCGAGTAGCGCGTTGGGGATGGCGCAGATGGCTTCTGACGACGGTAACACGCCTGGGAAGGGGGAAAGGAGGGGAGGGAGGGATTTAGCGGGATAAGAGAAGTGGGGGTCGAAACGAAAACAGAAGGCGAGGAGAGCGTTGGGGATGGAACAGATGGCTTCTGACGACGGCAGCACACCTGCAGGAAGGGAGAAAGGGGGAGGGAGGGAGGGAGGGAGGGAGGGAGGGAGGGAGGGAGGGGAGTGCGGGGGAACCAGAAGACTAACGCATTGGAGGCGCCTAAAAAAAAGATGACGAGCAGTGTGTTGGGGATGGCATCAGACTATGGCGTAAAGCACCCCTCTCTCTGTGCTTGTGTCTGTGGATGAGCTCTTGTGTGCTATGGCGTAAAGCACGAGCACAAGCACAAGCACAAACACAACAAGCTGGACACACCCACACCACACACAGCGCACTCACCAGCCTTGACAGCGTCCACAAACGTCTTGGGCAGCCCGGCAGCATCCAGCACAGCGAAGCTGGTGGGCTCGTGGTGGATCTGCTCGCTCATCACCGACGCTGCCAGCGCAAACACGCCTCCTCCGAACTCCTTCGCGTGCCGAAACACGGCCGCCAGGCAGTCCGGCAGCCGTCCCATGCCCCCTTGCTCGGGGGAGGCTGAGGCGAGCCTGACAGTGCTGCCTGGTCGGAAGCTGACCAGGGAGCTGACGCGCAGCAGGGCTTTAATCAGGCTGCGCTGCCGGTAGGTCAGCACTGCTGGCGCTGTAGCGGATCCGCCAGCAGCAGCAGGTGATGCCGTACCAGCGCCGCCGCTCGACCCTACGCCTGCTCCCCCTCCTGCACCCTCCTCTTCCACCATCGGAGCCTTGCCCTTGCGATCCTCATCCATACCAGTGGCTCCTGCACCAGCCGAGCCACTGCCACTCCCCCCACCAGCAGTCCCCTCACCAGCACCCTCAGCTGCACCAGCAGCCAGGGTTTTGCTAGACCCTAAACCCTGAACAGGCAGGAGAGTGGGCTCGACTTGAGCGACCTCGAGCCTGAGTCTGTCCACACACATGTCTAGCCCGTTCATTTCCCTAAAGAGTGCTGCTGCAGGGTTGGAGAAATCCATGAAGGCCTCGAGGATCTGCACTGACCATGTCACCAGACTCATGTGCTCAGGCTTGGTGTCCCGAACCAAAGGCAGCAGGGTCGGCACTAAGCCTGCCTCCCGAAGAGCGGTGCAACCCGACGAGGAGGATACCAGCGCAGCAATGAGGACCAACAGCGCGTCAACAAATTTCGGCGAGCAGCCTCCTGGTTTCCCAAGCTGAGCCACGGTCCTCTGCATCAGGCTTGGCAAGGTGGCTCGGTGCCCGCCAGTGCTGATTGCACTGAGGACCGTGGACTGGCGTGGCCGGTCCTGCGCCATGGCAGCCAGGGCTAGCAGCGCGTACATCCGAACCTCCTCAGGCACCAGGCTCTCCGCATTGAGCAGCGAAATTAGCTCCGGGACGAACTCAGGCTCGTTGGCAAAGAAGGCAGTGAGCTCGTCCGGGTCTGGTGTGGCGAGCAGCAGCACTCGGAAGGCCAGCAGGCGCACACAGAGGAAGCGGCGGCGCGAGTTGAGGAGCGGGAAGGAGTAGGCGCAGCGGAGGCGGGTGAGGAGGGAGAAGCGGAGGGCGGAGGGCACGGAGTATTGATCCACCAGGCGCTGGAGAAAGTCGAGCTCGGAGATTCCCTGCAGCTGCACGTGCTCTTGCACCCCAGGCACGTGGATGACCCTCAAACCAGGTGATAGACCTGTCGAAGCAGCGGCAGGTGCAGCAGGAGAGGGCGAAGCGGAGGGAGCACCAGCCGATGCCTCACCAGCCTTGTCCTCTTGACCCTCTAACCCCTCTCCACCGCTCCCACCCAGCCCCTGACCCTGCCCCACCGCCCCCACTCCAGCAGGCCCCTCCGCATAAAACTCAAAGTGCAACGTCCCTCCCAGGGACAGAGCGGACGCGTCCAGGCCCCCTTGGAGCGCGCAGGGCAGCATGCCAAGGCCCTCCTCCTTGCCGCCCCAGGCCTGCGCGAGGGCGAAGAGGCGCGCTGTGATGGCGGGATCCGCATGCCAGCGCGTGCTGCGACCTGGCTGGAAGGGCTTCTTGCCGTACACTGAGAGCAGCTCGAGACTCGCTGACAGCACGTCCAGGTCCGTGCTCGCGAGCAGCGTGCACACGTGCTGTGCGGAGGAGAGGAGCGGAGGGGTGGGGATGGGGGAGGGGGGAGGGAGAGGGGAGGGAGGGGAAGGGAAAGGGGGAGATGGGTAGGTGTGCTTCTTGCTGTACACTGCGAGGGGTTGGTTGCAGGCTGACAGCACGTCCAAATTCGTGCTCGCGAGCAGCCTTAAGACGTGTCGCGGCGAAGAGAGTGGTTAAGGCCACGCAAGAGAGCGGAAGCGGAAGAGGGGAGCGGGGGAAGGGGGGAGGGGGCGAGGGGAGGAGGAAGTAACAGACAGCACATCTCAGCATTTCGGATAGTCAAGTTTCGCAACATGAAGGTTATCAGGGGACGGTGTTACAATAAAACATAGCCTGCATACCTCAACGGACGCGTAGAGGTGCTTGTTGACGGAGTTCTCGAGGATAACGCGCGACACCCGCAGCACCTGCAGCACCGCATCCCGAGGGAACGGCGGATCCACGCCCGCGAACCGGCCCTCTAACTGCAAATCCTTGCGCGATTTCACGGAAGCTTCGAGGAAGGCGTCGAAGTGGTTCAAGAGGTCTACCCAGTGCAGCACGTCGCCCTGCCAGGCAGACACGCCAAAAGGTTTCCGATGCGATGAATAGAAGCACAACGGAAAGCGGAAAGAGAGAGGAATCGACGCGTGACGAGAAAATAAGCGTGGAGCCAATTTGGCGGTAAAGTTTAACGTGTAAAGGATGACAGAAAGGTGAACAGGGAACAGACATAGTGCGGGGTTCACTGAAAAAATACCCGATGAGGAATTCCCCGAATAAAAACCCAAGTCCCGACGAACGTGTATACGAGCGCGTATGGGAGCACCGATGGGTCGTTCGCTTTTCTAAAACTATCATCTTCATTGAACGCCAGAATCCCAAAGAAGCGAGAGGCCCTACCTTGTCATAAATCCACTTGAACTCCGAAAGAGGCTTCGCTATGTCATGTAACGGAACGGAGATAATGGATTCAATAACTTCCTTCACTCTCGGAGGCTGCAAACGGAACAAGCCAGACACAAGATTAAGGGACTCGTTAGATCCATGCCATGACAAGTCTAATGAAGCTCGTCTCCGCGGATCTGAATCCAGGAACACTGGAATTTGAAATACGGCGAAATTTAGAGATTGAATCTGTCAGGAGAAACTAAAACATCGAGGCCGGCAGGAAAAGCGGTCAGAGATGGACAGCGCTTACAGGATCCGAACCCTTTTTCTTTTTGACCTTCATCTTCCCACACCAAGACACGCGAAAACCTCCTACAAGGGCAAGCGCCTTCGGTGGAGAATTCGAACCACCAGTAGAGATTCAATAACCAGACAAGACAGCGGTCGCGTCTTGTGGGTTTTCGCGTCCAGGCAAAGTGGAAGCTCTCTCTCAAGACGAAGGGATGACTCCACTGCATCCTAGTCTCTAGACTCGAAATCCCTATTGACGCCTTGAAATGGTTGCAGAAACATGGCGGTGGTCCGGTCCGGTCCGCAATGAAGATGGTAGTCCCTGAACCTTCGAGGGTGCTAGTTCCCCTGGCCCTGATTGGTCAAGTTTCCAGCGGAACAAGGTTGCGACATTGCTAGCATTTCGTCAGGCGTGGTGCCACGCGGACGGGCACATCACCGATTCAGGATACATGATCAAAATATCAAGGACAATTATACTGATGACTCTGCATACACTAATGTCTTCTACAGCACAAGCCTATGGGCTGCCATTGGTAGCATGAACATGCACCCACATCTACTCTTTTTTCGCATGCTTGTGCTTGTGCAGTGACCTTAATCCATGAGCGATTCCTGCTCCTACTGGAAGTGATGTGAGCCTAACAAAGGGGCTTGCAAGACTCTCCGCGACCCAAGTAACAACCGACTTGGATGGGAAAATCCCTCGAGAGAGCAAAGCAAGTGAGAAAGGAAGGAAGCTGGATGACGTTGTCACGAGGAATTCTCTGGATTGAACAGCCGCCAGTGTTTTCTCTGCCACAATGTCGGGGTTCTCTATCTTGTTGCGGTCATACATCGATGCCACCTCCATCAGTTTGGTGAGGTACTGTCCAGATGCTTCGGCTGGAAAAAACAGTGTCGACCGAAGCAACCATCAGGATACATGAATATTTATAGCCCCACCTTATAAGCATGTGGGATGTAGGTACTTACCATCATCAAGCAGATGAGTGTCGGTGAAGCCTGGGCAGACAACGGAAACCGATATGTCATATGGGAGCAGCTCAAGACGAAGGCCTTCTGCAAAGCCTCGGACCCCGTACTTGGTAGCAGTGTAAACTGCTGCACCATACCAGAAGCTCTGTAACATAGATAAAACAAAACCTTGGATTCAGTGTCATGCTATGAGTGAACATGATCTTGAGTCACAGCAGCACATTGTACCCACCAGAGCAGAGAGTGAGCACATGAAGACAATGGCACCTGGCTCCGCTCCTTGTGCAACCCTCTCCTTCAAAAGCGGCACTGCAGCCTGCACAGGGTAGATGCTTCCCAGCAGGTTCGTGTTGACCTGCTCCTGGGCCTGCAGTGCGGAAATGTCCTCCACATGGCCTGTGCGCACCACTCCAGCGTTGCACAGCAGCACATCTATGGGGCACGCAGCTGCTGCTGCGTCTATGGCTGCCTGCACCGCCTTGGCATCAGAGACATCCACTGCCTGCACAAAAATTCAGACAAACCACAATTTCGTTTTCAAGAAAATACTCTATGAAGTATGGGTGCTCACAAGGTGCTACAGAGGGATCACTTCAAGCTCACCTGAGTGAAGATTCTGGGAGTAGGAAAAAAGCCATTGGTTCCATTGTGAGCAGACTCCCTGGTATACTGCTGCAGCTCCCGTGCTGCCTCTTCCAGCTTGGCCGCGTTCCGAGCCATCAGGGTAACCGAGGCTCCCTGGAGAATTCATGACAATACGTCAGATTATTTCCACTTTAACCCCAAAAGCCCAAGTCCACAATAACCTGCGATCCAATCAGATGTTACCTCTCTCAGGAAACGTTTGGCACAGGCGAAGCCAATGCCAGTGGAGCCGCCGGTGATGACCACATGCTTGCCCTTCATCATCTTCATGCTGCTACGGCTGCACGAAGAGAAATGAACAACGGGAGCATGATGAGCGCGAAGATCAGGGGCGAAAAGAAATCCACGTTAAAAGAATATGACAGTTCTTGGTTAGAATGCAAGAAGTGGTGTCTTACCAGAGAAGGTCGCCTGAAAGTAACTGGGGGGGTTGATTGACAGCTGCGAGGCGAATGTGACGAGAGGCAGAGGAGAATTCCGAACGGCTAAACGAGAGGGCTGATTGTCTTTCACTCGCAACTTTGATACGACCAGCTACAACAGCGCTAGATATTATTCCGGCAGCTGCGGACGTTTTGGGGAGATGGATGTTCATGGTGGGACGATGAATATAACCCTTCGACGAACAATTATGGGAATTAACGGATTCGCGGTAAATGGCGGCGAAGCATCCATGCTTCACCGACAAAACCACGAGAGCAATTCAGAAAAAACTTGATTGAAAACGACGTGACGTCTCTGTCGTCCGCGCAAGAAAGCGACGGCAAGTTGAGGCTTGACGACTCGGAAAAACGCAGACTCTGCATCACGTCAACGTCAAAACCGATATGAATGTGCTAGTCATTATGGAGGTGAGTGCGCTAGTCACAGTGGAGGTAGTTTGCTAGCCATGGCGAATGTCATTGATGTGGAATGACAACTAGACTCAGACCAAACGCTGTGAGTTGTCACGTGATCTTCGTTACAGTACTAGCTATGGGAAGGTACGGGATTGACGATTTCACATCCATGTGGAGCAGGATAAGCATATGAACACAAGAATTTTTGCTTGAATTAGCATTTGGAATGTGAATGGTGCTAACACCATCCATTCGGCTAAGAACTTCTTGGAACATAGAAAATTAAACTTAATGGTCCGTACCGTATTTATACGCATAATTGATCAGAAGGCATGTTTGTCTCATGAATTTTCTCATTTCACAAACTTGGTTTGACTATACTTTTCATAGGAAAGGTTTTACTAGAGCCTGCCTATACTTGTTTGTATTGTACATAGTATGCTGTAGTCACATCACGAAAAAAACACTTTGTGCATAGAAACAGTTAATATTGTAATAATGCTCAGCGGTCAGCCTTGTATGCGAACGCTTGCAGGATACCGTGTATACCCTCAGCAGGTCATCGGCCAACAGCGGTGGCGAGGCAATGGCATCAGTCCAAGAAGCTATCTCCTCATCGTGTCTTCTGTCTCCCTCACCATCAGCATTCAACTGCTGACATCCGATGTTCACCACGTTCACTCGTAGCTACGACTTATTAGTGGTTGTGCGATTCGCGAACTTGAGTCCTAAAAATTGGCAACTAACATTGGAAACTTTTTTTTACAAACCGCAGAACGTGAATACTGACAATAATGAAATCGAGACTTGTGAGTGCAGGCAGGCTGGTGGCCAAAGTGTCGATCACCCCAGCACGTAATGGCAAAGCCGCAAGAGACTTATTTTCCCAGCAAATGGAGTTCCGAGGTTTTTCAGAGTCCAGCGAAAGACTACAGCCGCAAGTCGTGCTGCATACTATATCTGATGACGGGCTGTGGTTCAAATTAGCTCCTGAAGAAGGTTGTGAGGCGAGTTGGCATGAGCTGGATTTAATCCACAGCTCATGTGTGACAGATTCCAAGGTAATGCTCTCGGTAACACTTATGTTATCTTACAATACCGCGCACACAGTGGATTCAAAACTAGTCACTTGTGTTTCTGATCTCGCAGACTGCTGTCGTGTCAATCGGAGGCGGATTCGAGGTGCACTTGGTTGCTATGTTAGGCAATCGCCAGGAGCATCGTAAGAACCACAGACCGTGCTTCTGGGGATTCCTCGTGAAGGAAGGCCAGTTCTCGGCCTGCTTGAAGATGCTGAACCTCCGCTGCCTTGCTGTGGTCTTCGACCTCGATGAAACTCTCTTTGTCGCCAATACAATGAAATCATTTGAAGACAAGATCGGTGTGCTGAGGCAACGGCTAGCAGCGAACAGTGATCCGCAACTGGCTAAGCTTTTGGCAGCTGAGCTGGGTCGCTACGAGGAGGACAGGCAGATCCTCCTTCAATACTACGATACCAACGCTGTCATGCTTGACGGGAAGTGCTACGTGGCTCAGCCTGAAGCCGTGACACCAGTGGAGGGGCAATCTCTTCCTGCCACTCGGCCTGTCCTCAGGCTCCCACACCAAAACATTGTTCTAACAAGAATCTTTCCAGAGGTGAAACGGTATTCTTTTTGCACACTTGATGCTTTGGACTCTGTTGTACCCTGAGCGGAAGCCTGATTTAGTGTGGTGGTGACTGTGCAGAATCGGGACACTAGTGTGCTTGTCAGAATGCGGCCATCCTGGGAAGATTTGCGGAGTTATTTTTCCACCAAGGGACGGAAGCGGTTTGAGGCCTTCGTGTGCACAATGGCAGAGAAGCAGTACGCTTTGGAAATGTGGAGGCTGCTTGATCCTGAAGGAAAGCTTATTCAACCGAAGGAGCTGTCAGCCCGTATCATCTCAGTCAAAGCTGGTAGGTTCACCTGGCCGATTAGGTTTCCTTCAATTCAATGAAACATTTTTTGTATATCTCTACCTCTTTAACGTTCCGTTTATTGATGGGCTCTGATTGCAGGCACATTCAAATCACTACAAAAGGTGTTCCACAGGAACGATTGTGATCCAAGAATGGCAGTCATTATTGATGACAGAATGAATGTCTGGGAGGAAAGGGACCAGCCACGTGTCCACCTTGTTCAACCTTTTGCTCCGTATGCAGCACCCCTGGCTGAGGTGTGTGAATTTGCTGGACTGTGTTGGTTTAGCCATATTAGTCAAACCGGCCGCTTTATTATCCCCTTCACATTATTTCAATTGCTGGCAGGTCAATCTGGCTGTTCCTGTCTTGGTCCATGCCAGGAACGTGATTTGCTATGTTCGAACTGACTTTTACAGGTAAGCGGACAGACGGTTTCATGCTCCATCTTACTGTCCATCTCATATCAGCTTGTTCAACAAGGACCAGCACTTGCTGTTTCCGTAACAAATGAGCAAGGGTTGTTGTGCAGGGCAATCGATGACTACTTGAGCCAAGGATTGGCAAGCATGTCCCACGATGCTGAGTTGCATCAGCTCCCACCAGTTCCTGACACAGCAATATTTGTGAAAGGTGCTCCAGTGGACAATGTATGTGAGTTATTGCCTTCAAGCTTTCTTGTTCCTCTGCTACTTGTCAAGTCTGACATGCGGATCTGCTTGGCAGGGGGCAATAGAGTCCAAGGAGCAGCAACAGTGGGTTTTCCAGTATCCTGGAGAGAAGCCACTTGCTCAACCAGGTGCACAATTGGATGTACCTGACAGAGGTGCTCCTCGTTTTGGGGGTCCTCATCTAGAGAGAGTGCAAGGAAGTTTGGTCCCATCAGCAGCGGCTCAGGTATCCAGCCATTTGTTGCAACTATTAAAATACGTAGCTTGCAATTTTTGGTTCACTTTTACAGAGTCTAACTTCTGCTATGTGCGTTGTGTTTCAGCCACCAGGGCCTTACGATGATTCAGAGGACTTGCCTTTGTGGCAACCAGAAGCAGTTGCACCAACTGAGCCTCGAAATGCACAGTCCAACCAGTTACCGGCTGCAGATGTCTTGTCAGGTACTGCAAGAGATGGTAACGCAGGTGAAGTTCCAGCGAAACCTCAATCCGAGGAGGTGGAGGAAGGGGAGCTTTCAGACAGAGAAGATTTGCCTTCTGAATCAAAGAAGGAAGAGCCAGAAACAGATTTGGAGTTGGAGCGGCGTCGACGGATGCTTATTTTGCAGCACGGAATGGATCCCGTGCTGGCTTCTCCAAGCATTTCACTTCCTCCAGGCTTCACGTTGCCTGGATCGTCAGCCTCTCCAGTTATTCTACCACAGCCCCCACCGCAAATGCCTCCTCTCTGTGACTTGTCCAGTGGTCCGTCTATTGTACCTCCACAAGCTTCTGTGCCGCCTACAGTTGCTGCACCATCTCCTAGACCATTTCTGATGTGGGAGGTCAAACCTTTAGTTGAACCATCCAGTCTTGTGAAGGCTGTTTCTGGGGAGAGCGTCAGAATACAAGATGAGAGCCCTGCTATCAGCCCTCCTGGGTTTGGCCCTCCAGGGTTCACCACTCTCGGTTCCCGTAAGTACTTTTTTGAGTCTGTTGCAACTCCAGTGTTCTTCGTCTCACATCTGAGGATTCTTATTACGGCAGGTGCACAGACTCGTGATCCACCGCTGATCAGCTCACCATCTAAAAAGGCCGTGCCGGCGTCCATGAAACGGGTGAGCAGCTAAACTGATAGAATTCGACAAGCTCCAATCAGCAACTTCACCACTACCCTCGATGCAGCAGGAGTTAAGGCATTTGCACACCTGTCTAAACATTGTCAGGGGGCTAACTGCACTGTTATTGTTTTGCTGCAGAATGACTCTGATTTGGAGGCAAGCACAAGGGAGACACTTGCTTTGCATGTCTCCAATGACATGAACAGGTACGGCCAGCTAATTAAATATTTTTATTTTAGACAAGCTATAGCCGTGTCTTTACAACTGATGGTGTGTGGATTGTGCAGTATGCAAGGCGCAGCTAAACGGAGGAGATTGATCGGTCCGTCATAGTGTGCACTCCTGATTTGTACAGGCCACAGCTATTCTGTATGTGGCATTCACTACACAATCTTTATTGTACAATGTCACAAAAGCAGGGATGTTTTTCAACCTCTTCCAGAATGGAGCTCAAGCATCAATGCCAAGAAAGAGCCCTACTCAGCACCTTCTGCTGCAATGCAGCGGTCATTAGCGCCTACGTTTCCTGATTTGCACAGGCCACAGCTATTCCGCATAAGACATCATTACACAATCTTCATTGTACAACAAGGTCACAAGAGCAGGAATAGCTTCCAACATCTTCCACAATTGAACTCAAGTATCAATGCCAAGAGCCCTGCTCAGCACCTTCTGCTGCAATGCAGAGAACATTAACGTCTACGTCTCACGGACTTGGAAAGCTCCTCTCGATAATCATTCAGGTTTTGCTTGATCCAGAGCCTCCGCTCCACAAGCCTTTCTTGGGCAGACTCCCCTGCAAGGCATTGTACAACACTCATCCAGAAAATTAAACATGAAAAAAGCAAAGAAAGATCCAAGAAAGCAGGTGCCATTGGACTCCCATGCTGGCCTTACCCATGGAGCTCCAGTGAGCTGCAGGAATACGAAGGGTGGTGCGCGTGAGGTAGCAAGCATCGTTCCATACCAGAGGCGCACGGCGCATGGTGTAGCGATGGAACCACTGCACCTGCCACCATATCAACTGCACATCCAATGACAATGCACGGACTTCAGAATGTCATATGAGAGATGCAGTCAACAGAACGAGCACAAAACGAAGGAACAGCAGACAACAGCACATGGAGGGCAATGATTTACCTTGGCAGCTACATAAGGGAAGATGACAACTTGAACACCAAAGAGCCGCCACGGACACGGCTTGTCAGCTCCATGCACCTGCCGTGGACGGAATCACAAAGAATATTTAAAAAAACATGACACCAAGAATATACATTGCGTGATGTGACTGCAAACCGTACCTGAAGCTCGAGTTCAGCCACTCCATTTTCTGGGGGAGCAGCAGCAGCTGCTCCAGCTTGTTGGGTGTCAGCTGCTCTGAAAGCATCCACAGTTCGTCCCAGGCAAGCAGTGGGTGTGCAGGTAGAGGTAGTCAGGCAAGATCACTAATCAGAACACAAGCCTAAACATATTGTGTGCAACAATTTTTCGAAGGGGAGATGGGCAATCAAGCAAGAAAACCACATCTTCGAGAGTATAAACTAGTGCCAAACTGTGAATTGTGCCCTCGCTGCCTACCTTCCTCCACGCCGGCCCCCTCCACGCTTCCCTCTGCCTCCACCAGTGGTGCTGGCAGCAGCAGCAGCAGCCGCAGCCCTTTCCAGCTCCAGCTGCTTCAAGCGATTGCGGTAGGCTGGGGTCTGCTTGGCGTGCTCTATAGCCTGCGAGGTGACGGAGAGGAAGTGGCAGGACAGCATGGGGCATGAACAACGTGAAAGCGACAAGGAGGAACAATAATAATCTGTTACATGTCACTTGGCAAAAGATTCCAACCCATAGAACGGAAAGCGAGTCAATTCGCCTGCTTGCCCAAGGGGCTGAATTTAGGAGATGCCTTAGAACCTCACCTATTGGTACTCACTGACACTGGGTGCGGCTCACCTGGTTGTATCGAATGTGATCGTTGAGGTACTGGAAGGACGAGAGCAGCAACAGCGCTGCAAGCAGGATGAGTCGAATGTCCTGTAATCAACCAGTGCAACACAAAGTGATTGGGACAAAAAAAAGAACCACAATTTGCAAGTGGTTGAAGGGGATGTGAATCAGTGAAAAGCAATGGCAGCAGCATACAGGCAGCACACCGTAATGGTACGATGCATGAGGGCGACAGAACGCAGTGCAAAATCTTATCACATAAACAGATAATTGTAACACAGAATATCTGCCATGACGAGAGGGCCAACTAGCTCTGTCAAGATGAGGAGCGACAGAAGCCTCACCGTCTTAGGAGCATAATAAGTTTGGTAGTAGCGTGCAGTGTTGTAGAAGAACTGAACAGGCAATTAACAGGTGGAAGGAGAGAGGGAGGGATGAGGGAGGAGGAGGGGGGGAAGAAGCGCGAAGTGGGATTAGACGGGTTGCTTGCACTGATGTGCAGGCCGTCTTCATGTTACCAACGAGGTGGTGCAAACCATGAAGGTGCAACATGCATACACGTCAACTGCTATCCTTACTTGCAAAAAAACACGGTATCTGCTCAAGGCAAATGGCATGCAATGCGATGCAATGCCATGATTTTCCATGTTGTGCAACGTGCCGTGCCATGCCGTGACATGCGAAGCCATCCCATGCCATGACATGCCATGCCATGCCATGCCATGCCATGCCATGCCATGCCATGCCATGCCATGCCATGCCATGCCATACCATGCCATGCCATGCCATGCCATACCATGCCATGCCATGCCATGCCATGCCATGCCACATCAGGCCTTGCAAAGCACCTGCTCTGGATGCGCGATGGCATAGTCATATTGCTCCCTCTTCTCCGCATCATACAAAATCTGGAGGGACGGACGGAGGAGGAGGGAAAGAGGCAGTAGAAGGTTGACTTTTGCTGGTTCAGCATGGTTTGTGGGCGCGTGGATGAGAGCCCTATGGTGTCAGGGGTCTGAAAGCGTGGTGCTGCAGGCAAGTATGAGTAGACAGCGGCAAACGATAAATGAATAACCTTGTTCTTGAGTCAAAGCAGTGTCATACACATTTCTCAGCCTCAACTCACGAAAGGTCACACTACTAAATACGCAAGTTCTCAGCAATTCAGGAAAGTTGTACCTCATAAGCGTTGGCGATTTTGGAGAATACGGCTTGCGCGTCTGGCTCTGGATTCTTGTCTGGATGGCTGCCATGAGAGGCAGGGAGCAGAACGGCCGTGGAGGGTGCAGAGTGGTGAGGAGCGGTGGCAGGTGACCAGGGGTGGTGAAGAATGGGGAGGAATGGTGATGGTTGACTAGGGGTAGAGGGACGTTGGTATTCTAAAGGAAACTTAAGTTTATAAGTTCATAAAAGTGGGGCTCACTCACTATTCACTCACTATTTGAGGGAGAGCTTGTAGTAAGCCTTCTTGATCTCCTGCTGTGTCGCTGTCTGCTTCACCCTGATGCAGTTACATGGTTACACGGCACAGCAGGGATAGGGATTGGCAAATTCAGGAAACTACGATGCGAGGAAGTGAATCAAGACTCGGCCATTGCAATGACTGGGATAACAGGTGCTGAAACGAAAGAGCGGCAGCGATGGGAGCATGGATCTAATCCGGTCATCAGATCACGTGGACGGTGGATGCAGGACACCAATGATTGGATACTGGACGGCGCCGAATGCGAAGAGGACGACACCAAGCAGGTAACTTGACCTAGTCAGGTGTGACTGTACCCGAGAAGGTCGTAGCAGTCATCGTCGCCGCAATACATGGCCCATGCTGACGACACCATACACGCGATCAGCACCGCAACGACCAGGATCCGACATGATGACATCAGAGCCATGCTGACTGCGTGCGGGGAAGGGAATGACAGCGTGCGGGGAAGGGAATGCAAGCGTGAGGGGTAGGGGATGGAAGTGGGAGGGAAGGGAATGGCAGCGGGAGGGATATGGATGCAAGCCTGAGGGGAATGGGAATGGAAGCGGGAGGGGGAGGGACTTGAGGAAATAGCAGCGCGACGGGAGGATATTGCCACGCGAAAGGAAGATCCCAGCCGCGCGATGGGAAGGGAATGGCCGCGCGACGGGTAGGGTAGCGCTGCGTTTGGGAATTCTTCCTCGGCGCGCGGGAATGGAACTATGGCGTGAGGGACGGGTGTCGCGGCGTGTTTTTCGGGAATCCCGTGCAAGCATGTACTCACACGTGTCTTTGGCCGCGATCTGCTACGTTTGTGGCCCTTGGGTTTTATTGCGATTGCAAGAATCGGCGAAAATCTGATGTCTGCTGATCTATCCGGTAGATCTAAAACCGGACAAGATTATTCTGCCGAGACCACTAGAGCGTCTCTTGCGGCGGACATCCCGGTGGGGATCCCGGATCTCCTCTGAACAAGTCGACGATTATGGGAACTACGTAAGTCGGACTGGGTGTGTCTGTCTGTCTTTGCTGATCTGGTGTGTCCTGCCAAAATGACAATACCGGGTACAACAGTGATACTGCAGATCTTACAGCAGGCTAGAAGAATGATGTCATGTAATTCTTACTTGGCTCTTAGCATACTGAATTCAGATCCATCCATACTATGCTGTTGACCCGCTGCCAGAATGTTGCATTGGACAGAACTTAAAGCCCGAGTTCCACATGGCATTTTTCAAATTCAAGATTCTTGAATATGAACTCGCCAAAAACCAGGTTACCACCCGAAGTGCAGCTTTCCGTCCCCTCACGGATGAGATGCTTCACAATTCTGATGCATGATTGGCCAGCGACAAAAAAAGGATTCCGCGTGAAGTGTCAACGGGAGTAGGACCACTGTTCACATTCAGTAAACTTGAAAACCAAGTTGTACTTATGTGCAGCCATATTGAGTCTAGAACACGTAGTGCGCTCCGCTGTTCAGGACCACAAGAGCGCGTAGTATCGCTTACAGACAATGGCAGCGAGATGTCTATATCCTTGCAGCAGTCTGTTGGTTTTTCGCTCCAACAAAAATAATATTAGCCAGCCTAAAGAAAAACGTCATGTCACGCCCCAATTCTACAGGGACGATGGCGCTCGCAAGTACGTTCGAAGCGCACGGATCAAGCGCTGCCGATCGGGCGCTCGACTCACATGTACGTTCCACGCACCCGCTTCCGCCCGTCGCATTCCCTTCCGCGCGCCTGCACTCCCTTCCACACGTCGCACTCTCTTACGCCCATCAAACTCCCTCCCGCCGTCGCCCTACTGCCCGTCGCTCTCCCTAGCGCACGTCGCACTCACTTCCGCCGACGCCCTCCCTTCCGCCCGTCACCTTCCCTTCCGCCCGTCGCACTCACTTCCGCCGTCGCCATCCCTTCCGCCCGTCGCCCGTCACCTTCCCTTCCGCCCGTCGCCCTCCCTTCCGCCCGTCGCCCTCCCTTCCGCCGTCGCCATAGATTCCGCCCGTCGCCCGTCGCCATGCCTTCCGCCCGTCGCCCTCCCTTCCGCCCGTCGCCCTCCCTTCCGCCCGTCGCCCTCCCTTCCGCCGTCGCCATCCCTTCCGCCCGTCATCCTCCCTTCGTCTCGTCGCCCTCCCTTCCTCCCATTGCCCTCCCGACCACCCGCCGCCCTACCTTCCCCTCGTCGCGCTCCCTTCCGCCCGTTGCCCCCCTTTGTCTCGTCTAGGGTCCCCGCTGCTCATCGCCCTCCCTCCCGCTCGACCCCTCGCAATCCCCGTATCTCTCTCCCCTCGTCGCCCTGGCACCTCCGTCACTGTCGCCATCCCTCCCATCTCCCTTCCCACCTCATTTGGGCCAGTCACGCCCCCTTTCCAACCAACACACACGGTGGCCCTTCCCCTAATGATCGCCTTTCACCACCACACCGCTTACCTCTCTCCTTCCCCACACCACCTTTGGCCTTCCTCCCCCAATCCCCTTCCCTGATTCCCTGTGTCCCTTTCCCTGCTTCCCCCCATCTCCTTCCCTTCTTCCTCCCACCCCCTTCCCTTATATTCCCCCCATCCCCGTCCCTGCTTCCCCATGTCCCCTTCCCTGCTTCCCCGTGTTCCCTTCCTTGCTTTCCCATGTCCCCTTCCCTTCCTCCCCCCATCCCCTTCCCTGCTTCCCCGTGTCCCTTTCCCTGCTTCCCCCCATCCCCTTCCCTGCTTCCCCGTGTCCCTTTCCCTGCTTCCCCCCATCCCCTTCCCTTCTTTCCCCCATCCCCTTCCCTTATGTTCCCCCATCCCCTTCCCTGCTTCCCCATGTCCCCTTCCCTGCTTCCCCATGTCCCCTCCCCTGCTTCCCCCCATCCCCTTCCCTGCTTCCCCCCATCCCCTTCCCTGCTTCCCCCCATCCCCTTCCCTGCTTCCCCGTGTCCCTTTCCCTGCTTCCCTCCATCTCCTTCCCTTCTTCCTCCCATCCCCTTCCCTTTTATTCCCCCCATCCCCGTCTGCTTCCCCCTGTCCCCTTCCCTGCTTCCCCGTGTCCCTTTCCCTGCTTCCCCCCATCCCCTTCCCTGCTTCCCCTCATCCCCTTCCTGCTTCCCCGTGTCCCTTTCCCTGCTTCCCCCCATCCCCTTCCCTTCTTCCCCCCATCCCCTTCCCTCATGTTCCCCCATCCCCTTCCCTGCTTCCCCATGTCCCCTTCCCTGCTTCCCCATGTCCCCTTCCCTGCTTCCCCCCATCCCCTTCCCTGCTTCCCCCCATCCCCTTCCCTGCTTCCCCCCATCCCCTTCCCTGCTTCCCCGCGTCCCTTTCCCTGCTTCCCCCCATCTCCTTCCCTTCTTCCGCCCATCCCCTTCCCTTATGTTCCCCCATCCCCTTCCCTGCTTCCCCATGTCCCCTTCCCTGCTTCCCCATGTCCCCTCCCCTGCTTCCCCCCATCCCCTTCCCTGCTTCCCCCCATCCCCTTCCCTGCTTCCCCCCATCCCCTTCCCTGCTTCCCCGTGTCCCTTTCCCTGCTTCCCTCCATCTCCTTCCCTTCTTCCTCCCATCCCCTTCCCTTTTATTCCCCCCATCCCCGTCTGCTTCCCCATGTCCCTTTCCCTGCTTCCCCCCATCCCCTTCCCTGCTTCCCCGTGTCCCTTTCCCTGCTTCCCCCCATCTCCTTCCCTTCTTCCGCCCATCCCCTTCCCTTATTTTCCCCCATCCCCGTCCCTGCTTCCCCATGTCCCCTTCCCTGCTTCCCCGTGTCCCTTTCCCTGCTTCCCCCCATCCCCCTCCCTGCTTCCCCGTGTCCCTTTCCCTGCTTCCCCCCATGTCCTTCCCTTCTTCCCCGTGTCCCTTTCCCTTCCTCCCCCCATCCCCTTCCCTGCTTTCCCATGTGTCTTCCCTTCCTCCCCCCATCCCCTTCCCTGCTTCCCCATTTCCCCTTCCCTGCTTCCCCATGTCCCCTTCCCTGCTTCCCCGTGTCCCTTTCCCTGCTTCCCCCCATCCCCTTCCCTTCCTCCCCCCATCCCCTTCCCTGCTTCCCCATGTCCCCTTCCCATCCTCCCCCCATCCCCTTCCCTGCTTCCCCCCATCCCCTTCCCTGCTTCCCCGTGTCCCTTTCCCTGCTTCCCCCCATCCCCTTCCCTTCCTCCCCCCATCCCCTTCCCTGCTTCCCCGTGTCCCTTTCCCTGCTTCCCCCCATCCCCTTCCCTGCTTCCCCATGTCCCTTTCCCTGCTTCCCCCCATGTCCTTCCCTTCTTCCCCGTGTCCCTTTCCCTTCCTCCCCCCATCCCCTTCCCTGCTTTCCCATGTGTCTTCCCTTCCTCCCCCCATCCTCTTCCCTTCCTCCCCCCATCCCCTTCCCTTCCTCCCCCCATCCCCTTCCCTGCTTCCTCATGTCCCCTTCCCATCCTCCCCCCATCCCCTTCCCTGCTTCCCCCCATCCCCTTCCCTGCTTCCCCCCATCCCCTTCCCTGCTTCCCCGTGTCCCTTTCCCTGCTTCCCCCCATCCCCTTCCCTTCATCCCCCCATCCCCTTCCTTTATGTTCCCCCATCCCCTTCCCTGCTTCCCCATGTCCCCTTCCCTGCTTCCCCCCATCCCCTTCCCTGCTTCCCCCCATCCCCTTCCCTGCTTCCCCCCATCCCCTTCCCTGCTTCCCCGTGTCCCTTTCCCTGCTTCCCCGTGTCCCTTTCCCTGCTTCCCCCCATCCCCTTCCCTGCTTCCCCGTGTCCCCTTCCCTGCTTCCCCCCATCCCCTTCCCTGCTTCCCCGTGTCCCTTTCCCTGCTTCCCCCCATCCCCTTCCCTGCTTCCCCATGTCCCTTTCCCTGCTTCCCCCCATCCCCTTCCCTTCTTCCCCGTGTCCCTTTCCCTTCCTCCCCCCATCCCCTTCCCTGCTTTCCCATGTGTCTTCCCTTCCTCCCCCCATCCCCTTCCCTGCTTCCCCATGTCCCCTTCCCTGCTTCCCCGTGTCCCTTTCCCTGCTTCCCCCCATCCCCTTCCCTTCATCCCCCCATCCCCTTCCCTTATGTTCCCCCATCCCCTTCCCTGCTTCCCCATGTCCCCTTCCCTGCTTCCCCATGTCCCCTTCCCTGCTTCCCCATGTCCCCTTCCCTTCCTCCCCCCATCCCCTTCCCTGCTTCCCCATGTCCCTTTACAAGCTTCCCCCCATCCTCCTCCCTGCTCCCCCCCATCCTCTTCCCTGCTTCCCTCCATCCCCTTCCCTGCTTCCACATGTCCCTTTCCCTGCTTCCCCGTGTCCCCTTCCGCGGCACTCACACGCACCACTTGTCTGCTCCTCATATTCTCCCTCAGATTCCTCCTCACATGTCTTGTGGAACCCTGGTCTGCACTTTGCCTGACTGCATGTCTGCCTGCGTTTGATCTGTGTGCATGTCTTTCTGCCTCCGTGCGTGCCTGCCTGTGTGCATGCCTGCGTGCGCGCATGCGTTGACAGTATGTGTGTGCGTGTGCGTGTGCACGACCACCCAGGACCTGATGCCATTCATCGACCGTGACCCCGTGGGAGGCGCACTTGGTGCAGATGGGGAGGTGCTTCCCCCCAGGAAGCTGCGTGACGTGCCCACAGAGTGGAGGTGGGAGCGGGTGTGGGGGCAGTGGGGAGCTGCGAGGAGGACGAGGAGGAGCAGCCCCTGGCGCTGGCAGCTTCCATGGAGGGGCACACAGAGGAAGAGGGGGGCGAGGTGGGGAGGTGGGCAAGGTGGGGAGCAAGGTGGGGACATGGGCCCATGCAGGGCATCCCCGTAACTCTCCCCCTTCGTGCTAGCTGGCATCCCCGTCACTGTCGCCATCCCTCCCTTCTCCCTTCCCAACTCGTACACTTGTCACGCCCACTCACTCCTTTGGTCTCCCACGCCCCACTCTCCAGCCCCTCAGCTGCTGGAAAGCAGATCTACGACCGGATCCGCCCCGAGGCGAACCCCTCCGCGCACCGCCACGCCGGTCACGAAGCAGCAGCAGCCCACAGCGCACTTCGGCAGAATATGCGAGATAGGGCGTGCAGCTGGCAGAGCTTCTCGAGACTGCTTTCAGCCTCCCCTGCTGCCCCATATCATATGCTGACTTGCGCCCGATAAGGCCCTGCATTTGAAGTTGCCGCCTTCCCTGCGTGTGAGGGATTGTACACTGCAACGCGTGACAGCCAGCACTGTGCAGGCAACTGTGTTGAATCTGGATCATGAGGCACAGACATTTGAATCGAGCAGAGCAGGGTGGTGTGGTCAGTGCGGAGTGGCATGGTAGGAAGGCGCAAAAAGAATGGCATAGAGAGTAGAGGCCGCGGCATGATATGGAGATTGGCAAGCAGGGATCGACTTGTGGGTCGTGCTTTGTTTGGTGCCAATGGTTTATATGCTGAATTGGGGTTACCTGTTGATAATACTGTGTGCAAGGGGTGTACTGTGTATGCCCTATCTCAATCTTGCCCCGAGCTCCAATGCGTAAAAAGTCTTGAACAAGTGAGCTTGTTCCTAGCTGTGATATTCCCTACCAAACATAAACAACATAGCCAACGACAAGCATACTAGTATCCAAAAACAGTTTCTCGGTATAAAGGTGTGTCATACATGGTGAAAACGCATCTCGCCAAAGAATGTTTAGGATGGTACGTAGCACTTCGAATCCGTAAAGCGCTCTTGCCGTTATAGAACCGGACACATCATAGTCAGCCGCTTTGAATGAACTGCAAGTTCACCAAGCATGACACGCCCTTAGAAAAACGACTTGCTGTTGCCTATAAACTAAAGTCGATTTCCCCAAGATACGTTGTGGGATTTATGCGGAGCTTCACTCCAGATGGTCGAGATGAATATGTCTAGGTAAGCCCAGCCGAGATGAGTGGTCAAGGGTGGCGGCGTCGGGCACATGAAAGGAGGGGTAGATGGGAAATTTCGAGGGGCTCTCCTTGCTGGAGCATGGCAAAGGCTGATTTGCGGAGGGGGGAGGGGGGGGATGGGAGGGTCGTAGGGGGAGTGGGGTGGGGGGCAGAGGAGAAGGAGGAGGTAAAGAGAGCTGAGAACGAGGAGGAGGAGCAGCAGGTTGACAAGCTAGCTCTCACTGCTTACTGCGTGCAATGGCTGTCAAAACGTGGGGGAGTGGGGAGTGGTGGGGAAGAGGGGAAAAGAAGGGAGAGAGGGGAGGTGGGATAGGGTCAAGGTGATTGTCTTTGAGATGATTTCTAATAGGGATCATGGGAAGGATGGGAGAGTTGTCGGTGGAGCTGGGAGAGAGGAGAAGGACGTGGAGAAAATGGGGCGATGGCATGGAATATCATGCAATAGTGCAAATGCCACCAGCTCCAAAGGTCAACTGCAATACACCAGACTCACCTGCACTGCACCAGGTGTCATTTGCCACTAAGAGGCAGACGTCCCAGGGGGCCGAGGCTTCCACCAGTGAAAGCCGCCCTGCCACCTCCATGTCCCTCTGCGAGTACGGCAGCAGCGGCACTCCCTGCACTGGCGGGACCAATTATAGGCGCTGACATGGGATGTATCGCAGGGATGGGGGATGGGGAGACGGTGCATCTCAAGGTTTTTGGTCAAGAGAAAGGGCTTGAGGGAGACAAGGAAGCGTGGAGGGGGGAGGGGGGGATAGATCTGAAGACCCACTAGTGTTGGTGTTTAAGGATAACTAACCACAATAGTAGGGTTCAGGGTTTACCATGGGCGAGCTCATAGGGATCGTTTATTCCGGAAGCGATGCGACGTGGCGGCCAAAGTGATAATGTTGGAGCGTTTTGGACCCCATAGGTGTGTCGTGGATGTTTACCGAGGATAGTTGGTGACGTCACCTGTAACATTAGCACAAACAGAAAGTTTCGGTCAAATTGACTTGTAACATTAGTTGATGAGATAGGGTGTGATATGTGGCAAGTGTGCAACTAGTCTCACCTAGAAGTCTGCGTGCAGCCTTATGCGTCGATGACCGATCGCGACCCCTCCCACTACGTTGCACAGGTGTAGCGGGCTGCTGTACAGATGGGTGGCCCGCTCCATCAGATATGTCCGCGGACTGCTGTTCAGATCCTTGCCCCCCTGATGCATCTTCAATAATATCGTCATCGACGCCATCCCCTAACGATCGTTGCCACTCGGCCATGATCCGATCAACCCACGACCAATCCATGGGTCCGAGTGTTCGATACTTGTTGCCCCGTCGCACCCGCGTCACTTGCCGCACTCGTGTGTGATAGGAAGTGACCAATCTATCCATCGAGTTATTCCAGTGCAAGACCGCGAGAGCCACCCGCGGCACAAGACTATCCTGAAACCGAATACGCTTAGGGGCGTATTTGAGGATCAGAGAATGGAATGACTCATTGACAGAGCTGTTGGCACCGTGAACAAAAGACTTCACCTTTTCCGGGGATAACCGTTTCTCAAACCAAGCAAGTACCGCCTTGTGTGTTTCTGACCCAGGCTCGTACAGAGCACATTCCCTCCCCCAATCCTCAGTAACACACCTTGGCGGGACACCACCAGACTTTCCACACCCGGAATGGTCACCCGCCCAATGGTTTGGCGCCGTCCCAATCTCCCTCGACACATCATCAGGGGTCATAGGGGTGCCCGCTTCCTTCATCCTCCCGGCGTGCATCATCACATGGAAAAAATGTGAGCCGAAGCGTTGCGCCACTGTACTCTCTTCATCGCCGGCGTGCACCTCATCTCCACCCCGTTTTCGTTTCCGGCGCCCAACCCACCGAGGCAATGTCTGTTCGATTCCGCTTCCTGCAGCATCACCATCGTGCACTGCACCCTCGTTGTCGCTTGCAGGGTTAGGCTCTGTTGGGTCCGAACCACCCATGCCATCATCTCCTGGTGAATGACAATATTGGAACGAAACATGACTGAGTAACCAAACAACATGAGCATTTAAAACTTCTCTTATACGAGCGTTCTTACCAGTGAATTCGTCAGCGTTGGCCCACGGAGTCGTCCCACCAATTGACCGTGAGACATCGCCTGCACCTGCATGTGCATGCACGATGAATGCACTTGCCACAGACGAGGGTCGCGCGCCATGCACTGGATGCAAATCGTAACTCCAAAGCTCCACATCCGGCCACTGCACGTCAACTTGTGTACCCCCCGATTCCTCCTCAACAACCACTTCATCGATCGCAGTGGTTCGCCTATCTCCCGTTGGGTCAGATCGCACCTCAGCATAAGCCACAGGGACATCCACAACCCCCTGTTCCCCCCCCACTCGTCGCACCTTTCTCAGCTCCAAAAACTGCCACTTTGCTTCATCGGGTGTCATGTGCACGTAGGCAATGGTGCCCATGGCTGTGCAGACCGATTTCACAAGAGCCGATTTGAGTGATGCCTTCGCCTCCTTCTCCAATCCCCGTTTTCGCAACCAGAGCCGCAGCCCTTCCACCGTAGCCAACCACAGCTCCTCAATACAACTAGCCTTGTCCACGGCAACCGGCATCCGCACGGCATCCTGAAGCTCCTTGCAGAAAAGCTTGTACAGCGTTTTCTTCACGTGCCACCAATCCACCTGATGGTTCAGTTTCCGCTCTGTCGCAGCACCTCTGAATGTTGTTCCTTGGTCCGAAATGATTCCTTCCACATCAAATCCCAACAGCGCCAGCTCGTCAACTCCTTTGTCGAACGCAACACGCTCCAATCGCACAGATGACGTATCATCAACCCCCTTTCTTGTTGTCACACAGTACAATATCTTCCGCGTAACAGCATCCATGAATGACACAGTACATCACTCGCCCTCTCGGACATGTGACCACCGACCGTCTACCGTTACCCATTCCCCGGGAATGTCTCGTTTCTTCATCTCTTCTCGCACCGCTGCCATCGATTTCTCCGCCTCCCTAAGAATCGTGTTCCACAACCCATTATCATCCCCTAGATACTTATAGAAAGTGCCTTTTCCGGGACATGGGATACCAAAATTGCGGCTAAACTCCCACATCTGTTGATAACCCATCCCGGCAAGCACAAATGCTCCTACGAATTTGGAATGGAGCATAGGCACGCGTGCCCCGACACCAGCTCTTCTTTTCTCAACGGTTCGATTGGTGCATGACCAGAATTCCACACCGTGGGAGCACGCATCACATCTCCAAAACATCCCCACTGATGCCCATGAAAATTTCCAAGACCTCAAAGACATGGCTCCTCCGCATGCATGTTGATGCGAGCACACCAACCGACATCCCTTGAAGAATCCAACAAGAGTACGCGGTTCGACGAGACATACCCGTTGTTCAGAAATCTCATCAGCATTGGGTGAGGTAGGCCAGTGCCTAGGGACTGTTGCACGCGCGATCGGGCGCGGTTGCCTGCGACGTGGCGAGAGGTGGTGCACATATCAGAAGAAAAACATACGTATAAGAGGTTGGATGTCAGATCCTTTGTTGGGCTAATCATCCTGGGATGGGGAACGCGTCAACCACATCTTCAAACATGGTAGATGCTTACATGTCCTCTGGCATGCCTGTTGTCGCCGTTGGCGTCGGTGCTGGCAGCGGTGTGTTGACGGGGGTAGACTGTATGCACTCCTGATCGGCTGCTCGACAGTCGGCGTTGTCCTGCGCCATTGGATTAGGTGGATCCGTAACAGCATCCACCACATCACGGTCTGCTGACTCGGAGCCGGCCCTCAGCCCGAGCCCACCTGCAGTATATCGAGAGCAACGGGATAAGCTACAACTTGCGGAATGGTATAGGAAGGACCGAATGTGCACAGTGCGTGGACATCTTTCTAATGGTGAATCTTACAAATGCATGCAGCTCATTACCTTCCTGGCGCTGGAGGGAAAATGCCTTTCCACGCCTTGCTCCTCCCCAAGATAGGCCCTTCACAGGTTTAGGTCTACCGCGATGATCAAGCTTCATAATCGGAAAGGAAAACTTGACGCCAGGCAGCACTCGATTCGGTCGTCCCAGTAGATCTGTAATCTTCTCGTAGCCTCCATGAACGCGCCCTTTGAAAATGCGACTATACTCTTGACGGTGCATCTCGACCATGGCGCCGGTTTGCGTGCCCTCTGACTCGGGATCTGGGTGTCATTGAGTTCACATATGAGGGTGCACATAGTACTCGTATTCACTGAAATGAACTGCGTGCAACTAATATGTGTTGACACAAAACCATTCTTCAACTTATCTGCGGCTAGTCCAGCTGTAATGAGTCGAAGCGTCGCATCTGGTGCTGCCTCTGCTAAGAAATGAATAACGTCGTCGGGTGTCGCCATAGCATCGCCAGCGAACAAAGCGGACAATCCCACACGTAGCACGCACAACAGAGGCCGCATATGCTTTGATATGTTCGCGCTGCCCTTCGTAGCATCCTTGCATGCTTGCGCTGCTGGATGTACACTCGATCTACTCACATTGGACATACCGGGAATACTACACAACCAAGAGGGTATGCATGCGCATGATGGGTAAGACAGATACCCACGTGGGATGATGGGCAGGAGGGCATAGTTATTGATGGCGTGCATCTAGATGCCCAACAGGGAGGGAAAAATGACATATGAAGTGATAAGGCAGCTGGCCCAAGTGCTGCGTCTTTTGGGGCACTTGATATGAATGGTTAACAAACAAGCGCAGTGCAAAGGTGGCAGAGCCAAGATCAAAGCTTTGGTGTAAAATCAGGGAAGGCGAGATCAAAACTGACCTACCAAGGTTGCGGTGCGCTGAGCTGTTCTGGCTGAGAATAGTTGAGAAATCAGGGAGGGGTTTATGACAACTGACCTGCCAAGGCTGCTGCGCGATGAGCCTCCTGCCCTTGTGGCCGATTAGATGGATGGATGTCCCCTGAACCCAGCAGTGCAATGGCTGCAGCAACACGTCCTGTCAACCAATGTCCACATGGGCGGCGGAATATAGGGCAAGTGAAACGCAAAGGCAACAACACCAGTCGCTGCTGTGCCTGCGGCACCAGCGAGGCTTGCAAAACCGCACAGCACCCAAGACCATGGCTGACGGGGACAAGTGGTGATGTGCCCCTAGTAACAGACAGAATGTTTGGGTTACAACTACCATGCAATGACTCAGCGCCTCGAAAATGTTGAGCATGAGGCACTAGTGAGGGATGGTTAGATGAGCACTGACCTGCCAAGGTTGCAGTGCGATGTGCTGCCGTTCGCGCCGCCGCCCAGATGAAAGGATGGCAGACAAGTTCAGCAGTACAACTTGCAAAGCGTCCTTTGGATAACTGGCAAATGGCAAAGGAATGAAAGAGAGGTAAAATTCAAAGACATCCGGACGCTTGCCAGAAAAACTGGAAAGTGGGAAAGGAATGAGTCCAAGTGAAATGCAAATGCTAGAACACCAAGTGCTGCTTACGCTGCGGCACCAGCGAGGCATGGTCACCCACACTGCACCCCGCACACCGACAGCGGGAACATGTGATGATGTGCCCCTAGTACTAGACAGGGGTGTTTGAGAAACAACTGCTGTGCAAATGACATAAGACCGCGCGCTGCTGAGCATGAGGCAGCAGAAATGACATGCATGAGCTAGTGCTACAGATAGCTTTGTAGTCTGACATGCCAAGGCGATGGTGCGATGTGCTGTTCTTCCTGTGGCAGCAGCCACGACTGTAGCAACAAGTTTGAACATGCATGCAAACCCGAACAGCAGTAGCACAAGGGCAACCAGAGTCCATTACCGCGATGCATGAGGCACCGAACATTGACGTACGAGAACGAGCTCATCTGCAAAGGCAGCAGCACGAGACATTCACGACAACTGACCTGCCAGGGACTGTCGCGATGCATGAGGCACTAGTGATGGATGGTTAGACGAGCACTGACCTGCCAAGGTTGCAGTGTGATGTTATGTCGTTCTTGCCGCCGCCCAGATGAAAGGGTGACTGTCAAACTCAGCAGTGCAACAGCAAAACGTCCTTTGGATAACTGGCAAATGGAGAAGGAATGAAAGGGAGGTAAAATTCAAAGACAGCGGGACGTTCGCACGGAAAACTAGAAAATGGGAAAGGAATGAGTTCCAAGTGGAATGCAAACGCAAGAAAACCAAGTGCTGCTTACGCTGCGGCACCAGCGAGGCATGGCCACCCACGCAGCACCCTGCACACCGACAGCGGGACCATGTGATGATGTGCCCCTAGTACTAGACAGTGGTGTTTGAGAAACAACTGCTGTGCAAATGACATAGGACTGCGCGCTGCTGTGCACCCATCCCCATGCATGGGATGGTTGGATGAGGACTGACCTGCCAAGGCAGCAGTGCGATGAGTTGTTGTTATTGACGACACCAAGATGATTGGATGTCTTCAAGACTCAGCAGTGCAACGGCTGCAGCAGCACGGCCTGTCAACAAGCTGCTCCCATGGGAAAGGGATGTAAGACAATTGAAATGCAAGGCTGCAACACTAGGTGCTGCTATGCTCGCAAGGGTGAGAACGCATGCTGTGATAGATGCAGAAGAGATGACTAGGGCTGTGCCCTTTGCAGCAAACCCGATACATGCCATGGTTATAACAGCAGTGACGTGGTAGGAGAGACACGATGCACAAGTAACGCATGTTGCTGTGGCTGCAGCCACAGCACACCTGCGATGTGCTAGGCAACAGGAGCTAGTGCTGCAGATAGCTTTGTAGTTACTGACATGCCACGGCGATGGTGCGTTGTGCTGTCCTTCCTGTGGTAGGCATATCGACCGATGATAGACAAGCTTTCTGCCACGACTGTAGCATCAAGTCCGAACAGGCATGCAAACTCGAATAGCAGTAGCACACTGGCAACCAGAGCCAATTACCGCAATGCATGAGGCACCGGACATTGACGAACAAGAACGAGCTCATCTGCATTGGCAGCAGCACAAGACATTCTCGACAACTGACCTGCCTGGGACTGTTGCGATGTGCTGTTGTTCTAGTGGCTGCCCAGAGAAATGGATGATTCCCACTCGGATGTAGCGCGACGGCTGAAGCAAAACGGCCTGTGGGGAGATCAAGGACAAGTAGCGCAAAGACAACAACACCAAGTGCTGCTATGCATGCGGCGCCATGTGCTGTTGTGCAGGACATTACGATATGGATGGATGACTGCAAAACAGAGTATGAAGCCAACAGCTCCACAACAGAGCAACACTAAACCTTGATGATCCGCAAAGGTAGTTGCACCAGATACTGCTGTACATGTGGCACTAGCAAGATATGCATTCGTGAACATCAGCAGCTTGGAGGCAACCCGCACTAGCTGAGAAATCAGGGAGGGCTGGATGAAAATTGACCCACCCTGCGAGTTGTGCGTTGTGTGTCCTGCCCTTGTGACCACCCAGATGGATTGATGACAGAAAAACTCAGCCGTACAACGATCCCCTGCAACACGTCCTGCTAGTAGCTGGAAAACGGGTTAGGGCTGAAAGACACATGAAGTGCAAAGGCAGCATCACCACGCGCAGCCGTGCCTGCGGCAACAGTGAGGCACTATAAGCCAAACAACAGCAGCAAAGCAAAGGTGGCAATAAATTGCAATGATGTGCAAGCGGATGGGGTGTGAGAAGTGCCCAGGCTGAAGCAACACTGGCTGCAGATAGGTGGGGTGTGCTGAAAGACAAGCTATCTACAAAGGCAGCAAGGAAAGGGACATGGGGAAGCAAGGAAAGGGACGTGGGGAAGCAGGGAAGGGGATGGGGGGAAGCTGGGAAAGGGACATGGGGAACCAGGGGAGGGCGTGGGGGGGAGCAGGGACGGGGACATGCGGAAGCAGGGAAGGGGACATGGTTTCGCATGTAAAGGGATGGGGGAAAGCAGGGATGGGGGGAAGCAGGGAAAGGGACACCTCGAAGCAAGGAAAGGGACATGGGGAAGCAAGGAAAGGGACATGGGGAAGCAGGGAAGGGGACATGGGGAAGCAGGGAAGGGGACATGGGGAAGCAGGGAAGGGGACATGGGGAAGCAGGGAAGGGGATGGGGGAGCATAAGGGAAGGGGATGGGGGGAAGAAGGGAAGGGGATGGGGGAAAGCAGGGAAAGGGACACGGGGAAGCAGGGAAGGGGACATGGAGAAGCAGGGAAGGGGATGGGGGGAAGAAGGGAAGGGGATGGGGGGAAGCAGGGAAGGGGACATGGGGAAGCAGGGAAAGGGACATGGGGAAGCAGGGAAGGGGATGGGGGGAAGCAGGGAAAGGGACATGGGGAAGCAGGGGAGGGCGTGGGGAGAAGCAGGGACGGGGACATGCGGAAGCAGGGAAGGGGACATGGGGAAGCAGGGAAGGTGATGGGGGGAAGCATGTAAAGGGATGGGGGGAAGCAGGGAAGGGGACACGTGGAATCAAGGAAAGGGACACGAGGAAGCAAGGAAAGGGACACGAGGAAGCAAGGAAAGGGACACGAGGAAGCAAGGAAAGGGACACGAGGAAGCAAGGAAAGGGACACGAGGAAGCAAGGAAAGGGACACGAGGAAGCAAGGAAAGGGACACGAGGAAGCAAGGAAAGGGACACGAGGAAGCAAGGAAAGGGACACGAGGAGGCAAGGAAAGGGACACGAGGAAGCAAGGAAAGGGACACGAGGAAGCAAGGAAAGGGACACGAGGAAGCAAGGAAAGGGACACGAGGAAGCAAGGAAAGGGACACGAGGAAGCAAGGAAAGGGACACGAGGAAGCAAGGAAAGGGACACGAGGAAGCAAGGAAAGGGACACGAGGAAGCAAGGAAAGGGACACGAGGAAGCAAGGAAAGGGACACGAGGAAGCAAGGAAAGGGACACGAGGAAGCAAGGAAAGGGACACGAGGAAGCAAGGAAAGGGACACGAGGAAGCAAGGAAAGGGACACGAGGAAGCAAGGAAAGGGACACGAGGAAGCAAGGAAAGGGACACGAGGAAGCAAGGAAAGGGACACGAGGAAGCAAGGAAAGGGACACGAGGAAGCAAGGAAAGGGACACGAGGAGGCAAGGAAAGGGACACGAGGAAGCAAGGAAAGGGACACGAGGAAGCAAGGAAAGGGACACGAGGAAGCAAGGAAAGGGACACGAGGAAGCAAGGAAAGGGACACGAGGAGCAAGGAAAGGGACACGAGGAAGCAAGGAAAGGGACACGAGGAAGCAAGGAAAGGGACACGAGGAAGCAAGGAAAGGGACACGAGGAAGCAAGGAAAGGGACACGAGGAAGCAAGGAAAGGGACACGAGGAAGCAAGGAAAGGGACACGAGGAAGCAAGGAAAGGGACACGAGGAAGCAAGGAAAGGGACACGAGGAAGCAAGGAAAGGGACACGAGGAAGCAAGGAAAGGGACACGAGGAAGCAAGGAAAGGGACACGAGGAAGCAAGGAAAGGGACACGAGGAAGCAAGGAAAGGGACACGAGGAAGCAAGGAAAGGGGCACGAGGAAGCAAGGAAAGGGGCACGAGGAAGCAAGGAAAGGGGCACGAGGAAGCAAGGAAAGGGACACGAGGAAGCAAGGAAAGGGACACGAGGAAGCAAGGAAAGGGACACGAGGAAGCAAGGAAAGGGACACGAGGAAGCAAGGAAAGGGACACGAGGAAGCAAGGAAAGGGACACGAGGAAGCAAGGAAAGGGACACGAGGAAGCAAGGAAAGGGACACGAGGAAGCAAGGAAAGGGACACGAGGAAGCAAGGAAAGGGACACGAGGAAGCAAGGAAAGGGACACGAGGAAGCAAGGAAAGGGACACGAGGAAGCAAGGAAAGGGGCACGAGGAAGCAAGGAAAGGGACACGAGGAAGCAAGGAAAGGGACACGAGGAAGCAAGGAAAGGGACACGAGGAAGCAAGGAAAGGGACACGAGGAAGCAAGGAAAGGGACACGAGGAAGCAAGGAAAGGGACACGAGGAAGCAAGGAAAGGGACACGAGGAAGCAAGGAAAGGGACACGAGGAAGCAAGGAAAGGGACACGAGGAAGCAAGGAAAGGGACACGAGGAAGCAAGGAAAGGGACACGAGGAAGCAAGGAAAGGGACACGAGGAAGCAAGGAAAGGGACACGAGGAAGCAAGGAAAGGGACACGAGGAAGCAAGGAAAGGGACACGAGGAAGCAAGGAAAGGGACACGAGGAAGCAAGGAAAGGGACACGAGGAAGCAAGGAAAGGGACACGAGGAAGCAAGGAAAGGGACACGAGGAAGCAAGGAAAGGGACACGAGGAAGCAAGGAAAGGGACACGAGGAAGCAAGGAAAGGGACACGAGGAAGCAAGGAAAGGGACACGAGGAAGCAAGGAAAGGGACACGAGGAAGCAAGGAAAGGGACACGAGGAAGCAAGGAAAGGGACACGAGGAAGCAAGGAAAGGGACACGAGGAAGCAAGGAAAGGGACACGAGGAAGCAAGGAAAGGGACACGAGGAAGCAAGGAAAGGGACACGAGGAAGCAAGGAAAGGGACACGAGGAAGCAAGGAAAGGGACACGAGGAAGCAAGGAAAGGGACACGAGGAAGCAAGGAAAGGGACACGAGGAAGCAAGGAAAGGGACACGAGGAAGCAAGGAAAGGGACACGAGGAAGCAAGGAAAGGGACACGAGGAAGCAAGGAAAGGGACACGAGGAAGCAAGGAAAGGGACACGAGGAAGCAAGGAAAGGGACACGAGGAAGCAAGGAAAGGGACACGAGGAAGCAAGGAAAGGGACACGAGGAAGCAAGGAAAGGGACACGAGGAAGCAAGGAAAGGGACACGAGGAAGCAAGGAAAGGGACACGAGGAAGCAAGGAAAGGGACACGAGGAAGCAAGGAAAGGGACACGAGGAAGCAAGGAAAGGGACACGAGGAAGCAAGGAAAGGGACACGAGGAAGCAAGGAAAGGGACACGAGGAAGCAAGGAAAGGGACACGAGGAAGCAAGGAAAGGGACACGAGGAAGCAAGGAAAGGGACACGAAGAAGCAAGGAAAGGGGATGGGGGAACATGAGGGAAGGGGATGGGGGGAAGAAGGGAAGGGGATGGGGGGAAGCAGGGAAGGGGACACGGGGAAGCAGGGAAGGGGACATGGGGAAGTAGGGAAGGGGACACGGGGAAGCAGGGAAGGGGACATGGGGAAGTAGGGAAGGGGACACGGGGAAGCAGGGAAGGGGACATGGGGAAGTAGGGAAGGGGACACGGGGAAGCAGGGAAGGGGACATGGGGAAGTAGGGAAAGGGACATGGGGAAGCAGGGAAGGGGTCATGGGGAAGTAGGGAAAGGGACACGGGGAAGCAGGGATGGGGATGGTGTGACTATAGATGCTTTAAAGCATGTTACTGCGACAGTAGGAGCTCAGTCGCGACTTCCAGTTTCCTTTGTTGCAGTTTACGTTATGCCCGTTACTGCACATGTATCGGTCTGAGTTTTGTCAGTGCCGAATCGGTGGACCGGAAACTCCGCAGTGAAACACGAGGGGTATTGCAACGAGAGCTGTTTGTGCTGCGGAATCTCAAGACACGTCGTGTCAATGAAGACGCTTGAGCTGGTGACTGTAGTAATCTATTTTCCCGTTGCCACCCTCTTACCGGTTCTAATTGCGTCACGCTCGTAGTGCAGCTCGTCGCCCTATAAATCTGAGCTCCTCTCTTAGTCTTCTCCTTGGCGCTCGCCGTTACCTCCCTCCTACCGCAATCGCATGCGTATTGTCGATTTGGTCCTGCGCACTATCGTGGTAGTTGGAGGCGTTGGGGTATTCATTCGCGTTCGTAAGTTCCACTGAATGTTTTCCTCACAGATACTCCCTCTTCCCCTACGTTTTCTTTGAGATCATAGAGAGAGAGTAGGGGGGGGGTGGCCTTAGCTGCACGTACGTCATCCGCACTGGTGACCGCACTGGTCAGACGTGTGGGAGGGCGCACACCACGCAGCGCTGCTTCTCCCGCCTCGACGACACTTGGCGTACTCAGTTCCCTGATGCCACTGAGATGCCCCGCTGGGCTGACCTGATGAAGAAAAACATTGATATCTATGCTCTAGACTTTGATGCTATTCTCACTGCCATGTATGTGTTGTCTACTAGTGGAGAGGGTGCTCAGTACCTGCGTGTTCCGCCCGACCCGGGCATTCGGACCAGTGAGGCTGCCGCTCTAGGTGCTAGCGTGTCTGCTGCCCCAGGTGCTGGTGAGGCTGCTGCTCTAGGTGCTAGTGAGTCTGCGCCCCCTGGTACTGAGTCGACTGAGGCACACACCTTCACACTGGATTCAGGTGCTTCTCGCTGTTTCTTTCGTGACCGCACTGCCCTTGAGCAGCTTGCTCGGCCACTTGCTGTCTCCCTCGCTGACCCCTCTGGGGGTCCGGTCATTGCGACCTCCTCCACTGTCCTTCCTTGTCCTGCGGTCCCGTCGGGCACACTGTCAGGTCTCCACCTCCCCTCGTTCTCTACGAACTTGGTGGCGGGGTGTGCGCTCCAGGACGGGGGTGTTCACCAGTTCACCCCTGCCTACGAGCGCGTGACACACTGCACGTGTGCTCGGACGGGCCGTCACCTGGCTACCTTCACTCGGCAGCCGGGGTCGGACCTGTACACACTGACCACTGAGTCCCCTCAGGTAGCTGCGTCTGCGTCTGCGTCAGGTCAGCTGTCGGCCCCCTGCTCGTGTCGCTCTCTGGCACACGAGACTGTCCTCTGGCACCACCGCCTTGGTCACCCGTCAGTGCAGCGCCTTCGTGCCATGCACAAACGGTACCTTGTCTCTGGTCTTCCCAGGGTTCTCCCTCCCCTCCCACCCTCGCCTGCTCCTCCCTGTCTTCCCTGTGTCGAGGGGCGGCAGCGCGCCGCTCCTCACTCCTCCTCGTTTCCCCCGACGACTGCTCCCTTGCAGACGCTCCACATGGACGTGTGGGGCCCAGCCCGCGTCCGTGGACAGGGTCAGGAGAGGTACTTCCTGATCGTTGTTGACGACTACTCGCGCTACACCACGGTCTTCCCCTTGCGCACCAAGGGTGAGGTCCCTGATGTCTTGATCCCTTGGATCCGCGCTTCTCGTCTCCAGCTCAGCGAGCGTTTCCACTCGGACTTTCCTGTCCTGCGTTTGCACTCTGACAGAGGTGGTGAGTTCTCCTCCGACCTCTTGGCAGCCTACTGTGCGGAGCACGGCATTGAGCAGTCGTTCACGCTTCCGGCCTCTCCACAGCAGAATGGGGTTGCTGAGCGCCGCATTGGCTTGGTCATGGAGGTCGCTCGTACCTCCTTGATCCATGCGGCTGCCCCCCACTTTCTGTGGCCGTTTGCGGTCCGATACGCTGCGCATCAGCTCAACCTCTAGCCCCGTGTCTCCTTGCCGGAGACTTCCCCGACACTGCGTTGGACGGGCGAGGTTGGCGATGCGTCGCGTTTTCGGGTCTGGGGATCTCGGGTCTTTTGTTCGCGATACGTCCGCGGACAAGCTCTCCTCCCGCGCTGTTCCTTGTGTCTTCCTTGGCTTTGTCCCGGACGCGTCTGGTTGACAGTTTTACCACGCCACCTCGCGCCGTGTCCTGCCCTCTCAGGACGTCACTTTTGACGAGTCCGTGCCCTACTACCGCCTCTTCCCCTACCACACTGCCCCGCTCCCCCCCCCGCCTCTCTTCCTCGCGCCAGGTGCTGCTGTGGTAGACCCCCTCCCCCCTCAGGGTGCCGCTCCCTCAGGTGTGTCCCAGGTAGACCCGGTTGAGCCTGTCGAGGTAGCTGTCGACTCTCGTCCGGCTAGGGGTGCTGAGCCTGAGCGTGCGGAGCCTGGGGGTGCGGAGCCTGGGGTTGCGCGGTCTGGGGGTGCTGAGCCTGGGGGTGCGGAGCCTGCGGGTGCGGAGCCTGCGGGTGCTGAGTCTGGGGGTGCTGAGTCTGGGGGTGCTGAGTCTGGGGGTGCTGAGTCTGGAGGTACTGAGCCTGGGAGTGCTACACCTGGAGGAGCTCTCTCCTCACAGCAGCTGCGTGAGTGGTACTTACAGTACTGCAGCCTCCGGAGAGGTGCTTCTGGAGCTAGGAGTGCTGCTGGAGCTGGTGCTAGTGCTTCCCCTCCTAGGCGGGAGCTGCCCTCTCCCCAGCGGCTCCGAGAGTGGTACGCGCGGCGCTGCAGTCTCCGGAGTGGCGCTCCTAGAGTCGCGGACCCTGGTGCTGGAGGTGCTGCTGCTGCTGGCGGTACTGCTGGTGCTACTGGAGGTGCTGCTGGTGCTGGTGCTACTGACGCTGCTGGAGGTGCGGCTGGTGCTGCTGGAGCTGCTGGAGGTACTGCTACTTCTGGAGGTGGTGCTGGTGCTGAGGACCCGGGCGTTGGAGCTGCTACTGGTGCTGCGGACCCGGGCGTTGGAGCTGCTGCTGGTGCTGCCGACCCTGGAGTTGGAGCTGCTGCTGGAGCTGAGGACCCTGGAGTTGGAGCTGCTGCTGGTGCTGCGGACCCGGGAGCTGGTGCTGCCGGTGTAGCTGGAGACCCTGGAGCTGAGGGTACTGGTGGTGCCTCTGCTGGTTCTGGAGGCGCTACGCGGCCGCGGCCGTACTTTGTTCCGCTCCTTCAGCAGGTTCTTGGTCAGCCGCCTCCCCCTAGTCCTGCTCCCTCCTTAGAGTGTCCTCCGCCTGTCCTGTCGCAGTCACAGTTACCGCCTGCCTCGCCACTCCCTGGTCCTTCTCCTTACACTGGTCCGACAGGCGGTCTCACTGAGCGTCGTGAGCCTGAGTCTCGTCCTGTGTCGCCAGAGTCTCGGTCAGCGTCGCCTGTTCGTGCTGCTCGCACTGGTCGTCGTGTCCCGCGTCAGCGTCCACCTGCTGTCCCAGGCACTCACCAGATGGAGCTTCGTCCTTCCACTGCTCCTCAGCGTGTCCTTCTGCCGTCTCCTCCTGCTTCCTCTCTTCCTGCTCTTGCTGACCCGGAGTCTGACTCCCTTCGTGCTGCCAGTCCTACTGTCACACGTCTCCTCGCCACTGTTGTCACTGACCCTACCTTTGAGTCCTCTGCTGCGTCTGCTCTAGTCGCTGAGTTAGTTGCCTTTGCTGCCGCCTGTCGTCTAGACTACGCCGCTAGCCTTGTTGCTGAGTCTGAGTCTGTCTGTCCTCCGTCCGTCGGGGGTGGATGTGCTCTTGGCACGGACGTCCTTGAGGACAGGCAGGAGGAGTTTGAGTGCTTTGCCGCTGCTTTACCTCATCTCGTGTCCATGCTGGTTGCCCCTGAGGGAGACCCGGATGCTCCAGACATCCCGACCCCGCGCTCTTACGCTGAGGCGATCGCGGGTGAGTACTCCTCTCAGTGGCAGATAGCTACGGACGCAGAGATGGCTTCTTGGAAGTCCACAGGCACCTACGTTGACGAGGTTCCCCCACCTGGGGCGAACATCGTCAGTGGCATGTGGATTTTCAGGGTGAAGCGGCCGCCGGGTTCTCCGCCTGTCTTCAAGGCGCGTTACGTTGCACGAGGCTTCAGTCAGCGAGAGGGAGTTGACTTCTTCCAGACCTTCTCCCCGACCCCGAAGATGACCACTCTTCGGGTTCTGCTGCACGTCGCCGCTCAGCGTGACTACGAGCTCCACTCTCTTGACTTCAGCACTGCTTTCCTACAGGGCAGCCTACACGAGGAGATCTGGCTGCGCCGCCCACCTGGCTTCACTGGGTCGTTCCCTCCTGGTACCCAGTGGAGCCTCCGGCGGCCAGTCTACGGTCTCCGACAGGCGCCGCGTGAGTGGCACGACACACTGAGGACTACGCTTGCGGCTCTTGGGTTCGCTCCTTCTACTGCTGACCCGTCGCTGTTTCTACGCACCGACACTTCGCTGCCGCCGTTCTACATCCTCGTGTACGTCGACGACTTGGTCTTTGCCACTGCTGACACTGCGGCACTCGCCCACGTGAAGTCGGAGCTGCAGAAGAGACACACGTGCACAGACCTGGGGGAACTGACAAGCTATCTTGGCTTGCGGATCACCCGGGACAGAGCACGGCGCACCATCACCTTGACTCAGTCACACATGGTGCAGCAGGTCCTTCAGCGCTTCCGCTTCACGTACTCCTCGCCTCAGCCCACTCCTCTGCCTACCGGTCACTCGCTCTCAGCTCTGCCTTCGGATGAGTCCGTAGAGCCGAGTGGCCCGTATCCAGAGCTTGTGGGCTGCCTCATGT